TTTCTTTATTATCTATTAAATAAATATTAATTACTACTTCAATGTTTTGACTGCAAGTTTTAAAGGAACAAAGTCTGAAAACTGTTCTGAATTCTTTAGCAAGGCAGGGAAGGAGTGGTCTGCCTCCCTCTTTCCTGTGTGCGGTCCCAGGGCTCGCAGTTGTGAGGCAAGGCATGGAAAACACACAAAAGACCACTGTGTTCAATTTAGAATTACCAGTATGTCTTCTACACTCACCCACAACTGACACCATCAAAGGTGGACACTTAACAAATACATGATAATTCTAAAATTCCCAAAAATAAAATAACCTGTTTGAGCACTTGCTAGCCTAGGTCTGCAATGCTGTTAAACATTCATTTAATTTCTAGCTGCTTCATCTAATTCAGGGTCAGGGGGGAGCTGGAGCCTATCCCAGCAAGCAATGAAGAGAAGGCAGGGATGCTAGTCCATCGTAGGGCACACAGACACACACTAAGGGCCAAATTTCCCAGAACCCAATTAACCTACAGTATGTCTTTGGATTGTAAGAAGAAACTCGAGCACCCTGAAGAAACCCATGTGAACACGAGGAGAACATGGAAACTCCATGCAGACAGCACCACAAGTATCGAACCCAAGGCCCCAGCAATGCTAACAAGTGTGCCATCATACCACTGTTGCTAAATATAAGAAACAACAAAAAAATAGTGCTAATGTAGAGGAGTCTCAAGCCCTTAGCTATCTACAAACACATCTTATTGTGGCTGATGTAAGATCAGGACTTCTCTATATTGTATTATCTAAACAAATACCTCACACTCTTATGAAAACAGAGCATACTAGAGAATTAGATTGATATGACTGACATGCATCTGAAAACTAAACCTGAACATGTCTGTATGCCCTAATTAAAAAACACTACACCCTATATATGTCCAAATGGGCCACTGTCAAGATGACAAGGCGTGCCCTCTTGTCACAGGTCACATGTCAACCCCTGACAGATACCACTTAAAGGTGGGTATTCGAGAATAATAATGTACTATATAGGCAGAGCTGAAAATCAGAAAGAGTTTGATATTATTTTGCTTAATTCTAGGTCTACGTAGTGTTTTCAGTACTGTTCGGGTGCCTTCATCAGCGATGGATGCCACACCTTGAACATTTAAGGCACTTCGGGAACCTCTTCATAAGTCCATTTATCAAGCATTAAGTACACATATGCCCAAAAATGAAAACGGAGGACTTTGCGTTGACTTTTCAGATTTAGATTTATTTCCTAAATCATAAAATGTACTAAAGACTGGGTAAGGTACTGACGTACAAAGCAGAAATATGCGCACAACAGGAACCTCTCAGACCTGCGCCAAACGTCTACACTATTCAGCAGATCGTATTGCCACACCATTCTGAAAAGCTAACTCCGCCCACATTGTGACAGACAAGCAAATAGAACAGTAGTGATTAAAAAAAAAGTTTTCGTGGTTTCGTGTTTTTCATCTTACGATTTGTTATTACTTTTAAAATAAAAAGCTGTTGTATAATTCGTTATACCTCATCCTCAGCAGCATTGAAAAATAATCTTTCTTTTTTGCATGCTTTACTTTCTGTTTTCTTAGGCGTTGTGAAACGCCTATTTAGCTACTGTACCTACTTTTGCGCATTTGACTAAAAACTGGATGTCAAATCAGCTCAGCTGTCAAACAGAAAAATTGTCATTAAGTGGCACGACGTTCGGTAATCGACGAACAAAACATAAAAATACATAATTCAAAAATTCTATAATCAATTTCCTTAACTGTTAGATATGTCTAGCAAGTCACAACAACTGTAATGAAAAGGATGAAAAATTATTTGTTGTAGATGCTGGGATTTTCAAAACTGACTATCCTTTAGAAATTATAAATAATTAACAAGACATTTCCACTTACCGATTTTAAAAGCCGAACGGATCAGGGGGACTCAAAGTGCACACGCAAGACAAGCACTTCACTGCGCCTTAAACTCCTCTAAGCCCTACCAGCTCTCACGAGAATACAGCTCCCAAGCCCAACCCCTTTCAAAGGGAAGAGAGCTCAGTATTTAACGTTTACTTGCCTGCTGTACTGACGGGATGTATTTACGCTTCTAGGAGAGCTAGCTGATTCCAGATTAAAAGCGCGGAACTAACACAGAAACAATCAAGAGCACCCAAACAACACAGCAATAACTCAGGCCTCTCAGTCCCCGTTACAGCAGCTGGACAAACTGTCCGTCTCACTCCCGTCTACACAAGTACCCACAGGCCTACTTTTCAATTAGACATGTCTCCATTTTTTGTCCATTTCAGAATAAACATGTATCATCAAGCTATTTTTATGTTTCAGTATTGTTTTCTTGTTTTTTTTTCTTACCCTAAATTAAGATCAAATAAAGGAATTTATTCTGTATACTAGAGTTCTTATTCATACCAATATGAGCATATTTCAAGTACAGTGAAGTGCTATCAGTAGTACATGACTCGAGTCGACTACAGCCTGCGTTTATTAGGATTATATGTAAAAAATTCAACTGCTTCACGTCGGCAAGAGCTGTCATTTTAATTTTTTTAGTCCCATGTACTATAATTAATAAATATGTACAATATGTCCAAAATTTGGTTATGGGCCCAATTGTTGTATTCTACCTTTCTGCAGCTCATAGCGATACACTGTTCCTTCATCGCTCATTTAAGCAATTCCTGAATATGCCCACCTTATGCTACAGCATTATTTGTCAATTGTAATTCTAGCAATTAAAATGGTCATATTAATATGGTATTATATAGTTAACTGGAACAACAATGATTCTTTCAAGTGTCTCTGCATACAAAGCTCTGACACAGTGGAAATCAGAAATTGGAGAGGACAAAAATACTACTTTGACACTAATTCTTCCCCAACAGTCAAAATTGATTAATGCAAAGGGATTTTACTACTTAAACTGGCAGGCTTTCCAGGTATTTTTTTCATCAATCGATAACTTCCTAAAATAATGTTGCAGAAATACCAGGCCATGAAGAATTCAAAATGAAGCTTGATGGCAGTTCACCGTTTCTTAAAAGGGTATACAGTCTAAGATAAATCATGATCTTGCATACATTTCCAGAGTGAGAAAGATGCTAGCAGCCATTTTCACCCTGCAACTCACCATTGGCAACCCACTAATACTAAGCAGATACTGTATGAGCCTGGACACTACCTGGATAGGAGACCTCCTGGGAAAAACTAAGGTTTCTGCTGGAAGAGATGTCAGTGGGGCCAACAGGGAGTGCTCACCCTGTGGTCTGTGTGGGGCCTAATGTCCCAGTATAGTGATAGGGTCACTATACTGTAAAAAGGCACCATTGTTTGAATGAGATATAAAACTGAGGTCTTGACTCTCTGTGGTCATTAAAAATCTGATGTCCTGCCCTAATTTCCCATAGGTCTTTACCAATCATGGCCTGCTAATAATCCCCATCTATGAAGTGGCTTCATCATCCTGTGTCCAGAAATGTGCTTTATAAGTGCAAGGAATTATTATTATTATCCTTTAAAAAAAGCGAACAGAAACAGTCAGACAGGGAACTGCTGGGAACTATAAAACTGACTTCTGTTTCCAGCCGTAAGAAACCTAAGAGGGACTGTAGTCCAGCCCAGCTTCCTTACATACCAGCTGTTGAGTTGCATTCGCTTCAGCATTCTGAGGTTGACAGCCGGGATGGCGGGGTCGGCGTTGATGCGGCTGCCTGTGCGGACTCTGCTGGTTGCAGGTGGTGGGCACTGCAGAACCAAGACACACTCCGCGTTTTGCTGGATAAGCCGCAACAAATACTTCCTGAAAAATGTAATTTGTGTTTCTGTTAAATCTAACAGATCTGAAGTTAGGCTCCGGTAGTATTTAGCTTTTAGTTAAAGCCCAACGTTATCTTGGGCAGCGGGAGAGTCAGTAGCATACTGTATTATTTCAACCGGGCGAAACGGACTGTAAATAAGTGTTGTGATGTGTTGCAGTTATCTTTCACTGCTAGCGTGGAAATGTAACGTTTAGTTAGTGTGAAACCTGTAGATCTAATTTTCCAATTCGTTTTTTATTTAAAGTATTTTTCACTGTATAATTTAGAGTTGGGGTGGTTCTCTTTTATTGCTTTTTTCAATCATTTGAATCGTATACTACAATTTACAGCGATGTTACCGACTGTGATCATAACGACTGTGTACGCTCAAGAAAACTGTAAACTTCATTATTCAGACAAAAGATCCACAGGAGAAACGTGTTCAGGCAAATTGCACTTTCTTTGCAATAGGGTAAATGGAACTGTTTGTTACGATCACATTACTTTTTTTTAAATAACACAATGATAAATTTAACTAGCTAGTGCCGAAATACTGTTTTTAAAACATCATTCCTAAAGGAAAATATGCTTTTTGTTAATGATTGAAAAACTAAAGTGCATAACGTTAAGAACATCTGAAATAAATGAGTAATCGTTAATTTTTGTCTTGCCACGAGCTAAATGAATGTCGATTTTGCTTAATTCGGTATTTTTCTGCAAGTCCAAGGGTCGTTTTGTGGGTAATTGAACTACATTGTGCATTGTAGAGCATTCAAGACAAAGACGAAAAAAGAGGCTAAAATTGCGTAGGTTTTGTATGCTACACTTTTTTCAAGTTTTAATATGGCCAGGTTACTCATACTAAAACAGAAAGACTCTGTCCTTATCCGGTACATGGAAATTAACTGGCGCAGAGCCGATGAATTAGAGTTGCTTCTGAGTTCTGGCATAGCACCGGCTACTATCGGTCAAGATGAGTGCTGTGGATTCGTTAGCCTGGTTAAAATGGACTGCATGGTCAAAGTGGACTCTCATTTTTTCACTTTTTAGTGTTTGCTTTTTTGTGTGTGTTTTTAAACATTATTATTATTATTATTAATAATAATAATAATAATAACAATAATAATAATAATAATAATTGCTTACATTTATATAGCGCTTTTCTGGCAATGGGGACTCCACTCCACCACCACTGTGCAGTATCCACCTGGATGATGCGACGGCAGCCATAGTGCGCCAGAACACTCACCACACATCAGCGATCAGTGGGGAGGAGAGCAGAGTAATTAAGCCAATTTATAGAGGGGGATTGTTAAAGAGCATTGTTCGTCTACAGTAGTTGTAATGTTTCACTTCTCTGTTTTTCCATTCTGTTCAGGTCGGAGGGAATTCTGCATTCCTGGTGACTTTGCCAGCCCTGTCGTTCATGGGTTATCAAGCCTACAGATTGGTTTCTGGCTCAGGGGTAGTTCATGCTTTTGACAAAGGTACTGTGAAACTGGAAATGCAGACAATTATGCTGTATGCAGGAGTGTCTGTACGTGGTCCTGGAGAGCTGCTAACAGTATTTACAGTTCAGTATTTACATCTTTAAAGATTTCTTTAAAGCAGAAACACTTGAAGAGATGGGAAAAGCTGGAAAAATGGTCAGAAAGCCAGAAACCAGCTCGTTAAGTTATGACCCACAGACAGGCTGTGACTCCAGGACCTGGATTGGACACGCATTTTGTGAAGCAAACTGACAAAAATTCCATAAATAAAGGCACATTTTGGGATGTGTGGGACAGGCGACAAAACATAATGTTGCTATCTTGGCAGTGATAGTTTATAAATTAAACATTTTCTGTACTAAGTACAACACTCTGATATTATGCAAACGAGCCATGAAAATGTTCTGACAATGAATTTAATAAATGATGTATGTTACATCAGATGGCTTTAATGCCAGCAATCAGGTGTCCCAAAATATTTTTTTCTGTATAATCTTTGATTTTAGATTGTGTCACATCATGCTTTTCATGTATTTACTATTTTGATGGAGTTTGATCAGCATGTCTTATTTTATCACAAGCGTAGTCTGTCCTTCTCATTTTCTTTCTGTGAAATAGCCTGTTTTATCCACTGTGGAAAATGAACTATACCATTATAGTTAACATTATACTCAACATTTAAAAGGTTGTTACGGTGTTAGGCAGGAGTGTGTAACACCAGGCAAACTATTGTAGTTTGTAGTGCAGAATATGTTACTAGTTCATATTTTAGGCATTGAAGGAAAATTATATTTTTTTTGTTTTGAATTAACTGTAGAAACTTCTAGAAACTGGTGTTAGTCACCTTAACCACACAGACCTTTACAGTGGCTGTTGTTTGCATTTGTTTCCAGCTCAGGATGTAATTGAACAAGCTGACTACCTTTACAGTTGTGGAGAGACTGAGAAGCTATACCAGCTGCTGGTTCAGTATAAAGACAGGTGGGCCCTGGATTACTGAACTGAATCATTCTGCCTTGCTTAAAGACATTACTTCACGGTCTTCCAACCATTGGAACCAACTCTTGACCATTGGAAAAGCTTGCAGTTGTTGAAAAGCTCCTGATGTGCAGTGTTTGCTACTAAAGTAATTCTGATCTTAAGATAAATTGTTGAACTATGGAGAAAAGACATTTAATGTTAAAAATGACTGGAAAAACCCTGGAAAGAAGCCAGGGTTTTGACTTCAGCAAGTCAAAACCCTGGCTGGGTAGCCTGTAGCACTTGAGCCCTCGTGTTCATGCTACATGGCTGGGTAGCCTGTAGCACTTGAGCCCTCGTGTTCATGTTTCGCTGTTCATATTGAAGGAATCTGCAAGGTTGAGTTTGTCAATATCTTTGAGGATTTTTCATATCTATATCAGGTCTTCTCATCTTTATTCAATACTTAAAAGATTAAGTGCTTTCACTTTCTTTTAAGTCCCAGAAAAATATTGTTTTTTCTCCCCCTTTCAAATCATTGTCCTGCCAGTGCCAGTTGTGCTTTCTCTCTTCGCAGTGACAATGCTGAGTTCCTGTGGCGCCTGGCGCGAGCCACACGAGACCTGGCCTTCCAGTCCCACATCTCCACAGAGGACAAGAAGAGGCTGACGTACGAGGCCTTTGACTGCGTCAAGAAGGCACTAGAGATAAACCAGTCCTGCTTTTCTGCCCATAAAGTGAGATGTTGTGTTTAATACATGAAGAACTCAAAATCTCAAGTGCAGCACATATGAGTTCATTTTGGTACTTTCAAAGCTCCACATGTTTAGACATCGTTGAGTATGTTAGTAACATATATTTTAATTTACTCATTCAAAAGTTAAAAACATGAATATTCATACAGCTTACAAAGACTAATGAGAAGTGGGATTGTGGCCCATGTTGCTCAATATTGCCACAATATTCACACTACAGGCATCCTGGGGTCCTTATTCCCATAGCCTATGTAACATATACGGCATATGTAATGTTTCTGCTTCATAGCTCCTACACATCTTATCCCATCTTCATCACAGTCTTCCAGCCGCTGTCCGGATAATTCCATCACAAGGCTTCCTACCTTTCACCATATAGTTCTCTTGCTGTTTTGTACAATGTGAAAGCTGCAGTTTCTGAGTGATTTACTTAGACTAAAAAAAAACATGACTATTTCTTTTTATCTTTGAATCTTCAGAGATTCATTGCATTTCTAACTTTTCCAAAAGAGTTGTCCACACAACATTAAAATAGTTGACAGCATGCTTCTCTGTCAGAGAGGGAATACAAGACCTCTTTAATTTTTACATGGATACTGTGTACAAGTAAAACCAGAGACTTGCAGAATTAGTAAAATTCCTATCAATTTGTAGGATAACTTTTCCAGCAAAAAGGAAAATCAACGCTTCTATTCACCTTCTTTCCAGTGCATTTAATTTTCAGAAATACAGTACGTCTCTTTCTGTAATTAAGTAATTTGCATTACTTAAATATCATTGCTCCAAGAGGTGTTTTTACTGTCAAAGGATACACAGTATATGACATGCAGTCATCTTAAATAACACCTGGTCCAAGAGAGTCATTTAAAAATGTTAATGCACACCCATGCTCTGTTGGTACAGTTGTTCAGGAAACAATAGCAATAAGTCCCAAATATACCTATATATGCTTTCTCAAAACAGTCTGAAAAAAAGTGTATGTCTCCTAAAGTGTAGTATTTGAAATGTGTTCCGTTGTGAAAGTAGTGTACTTTTGTACTTGTTTTAAACCAGTTATTGCTATGTCTGTTGTTATAACAGTGGTATGCTGTATGTCTCAGTGACATTGGAGAGTATGAAGGAACCAAGATAAAGATTGGAAATGCTTACGTCATAAGAGAACATTTGGAGGTGAGTTTTCTGCCTTTAGTCTGTTAAGATCTAAAATTCAGTACTTGTTGGTTCATTACAATCTTTAAATTAAGATAGTTAAAAGCTTTCAGCATTTAATGTAGCATTCTTGGAATTGTATTGATTTTATGTAGATGTAATAATGTTAGTGTTATATATATTATAATTAGTTCAGGTGGGTAGTTGCGTTAGCATGCGTAGGCTGCAAAGGAACAAGTCATAGGTTATTCCATGCTGAAAAAAAGGAGAGAAAACACAATTTTTCGGCCATGGAGCCTTCTTCAGGTGTGAGAGAGACCAGGCAGTAGGTAAGTATATTATAAATAAGTATATTATAATTATGTAACAGTATTTTTATGTATTTTGTCTTAGAAAGCTATCACATTGAATCCTAAAGATGCTACCTCAATCCATATCCTTGGCCTATGGTGAGTGATTTGCTTTCTCATATTCAATAATCTAATAACTCTTTTCAGCACTTATTTGGACTTCTCAAAACAAGTGTTTTATCCCTCTTAAAAGATGGTAATAATGAAAAAAATAAAATGCCTTACCAAATTGGTAAATTCTGTACTCTTAACAGGTTTAATAAATTCAATTTTTAAAGGTGTTTTGCTTTTGCTGAGCTGCCCTGGTACCAGCACAAAATTGCAGCCATGATCTTCGCCTCTCCTCCCAGCTCCACCTATGAAGAGGTGAGGACATGTGCACTTTGTCTCAGTGTCCCTCCCTTCTTCATGAAACACTGCAGGAATTTAGTACACTTTGGAACATTCCTGTATCATTGTAGTACCAACCTTCTTTCACTCATTTTAAGCAAACCCTGTAAAACAGGGCATTGGGTGATCTCTGGAAGACAACTTCACAAAGCTCATTTCAATCTGTCAAGATTTCCAAAAGCTGTTTGGGTACCTTTTTGCTAACTGGGTACTAGAAAACATATTTATTTTTCTTAAAGGAAGACACTGTGACCTGTAATTTATTCTGGGGTTACACGCAGGGTCTAACAAGGTATTTACACCAGAAGCTGGTAGTCCTGGTCCTGAGGAGCTCCGCATCTGCTGGGTTTTATTCCACATGATCTCTTTTACACATTTGAACACTTAACCCGACCTAATATTATGATTAATTATTTAATCCTATAATTGTTCACAGTTCCTAAACATTTGGAGGTTTTGTCTATTAGGATTCATAAAGCTAGGATCTCCAACTTCTGAGCAGAAAAAAGAAACTTAAAGAAGGAAAGACTCCAGTCAGCCAACCTCTTAGTTGAGTTAACCTCTTTGGAGTTCAGTTAAGGAGACAGCTGGAATGAAAACAGCAGGTTTGGGAGGCTCTAGAACCATGGACTAGAACCTGGGTTCATTTAGGGTTCTAATAATTCTGTAATGAAGCAAGTGATAGAACTAATTGGAATTTCAAATCAACCCAATGTGGAATTTACCAGTAGTGTATGAAAAAAGTTGTGGTTTCTTTTGCCTACTTTCTGTATTTTTGATTTTTATAAATACTTCAGTTAACATCAAATCCTTCTGTACTTTTTCAGGCTCTAAGTTTCTTCCTGAGGGCAGAAGAAGGTATGATGAAAGAAAAAATGATCATTTAAAACTGAGAAAACCTTATGGTTCTCACACATGCTTGTTCACTCATATCCATCTATAGGTGAAGGTATAGTATTGTCTGACTCTGAATGTACCTTGTTTCAGTTAAGTATTGGTAAACATTTAATACTGTACATGGAGGGGCTCAGCAAAAGAATAGCAAAAACTCAGTCTCTACTCAGTATTTGAGTTTAAGACGTTTTTTTTTGACAGATCATTTAACTAGCTAATTGCTGAAGGGTCTTTAGTTTAAATTGAGAAGTTGGAGAACACAGTGTAGGACCTGAGAAAATCTCACTATTAGTAATGTTCCTGGTTTTCTTTTTTAATTAGATAGTATCAGCACTTTGTTTTTTTGGACTTTATGCTAGGTGTGAAAATTTCAAGTACACCAAAAAAAAAAAAGGAATTTTGAATAAAGTGCCGCAACAAACATTTATTCAAATGGTCTTTTTTTTCAATGATCTACTTTAAGCTAGAACAATAGCGTTTTTATCTTTAGTGGTTAGTTTTAATGGTCATGTATGCTGTTCCAGTAAACAGGTGTTTAAAACAAATGTGCTATATAAAGCATTTTAACTCTTAAACAAGGGAGAGTAGGATCACTTGCTTTTTCCCCCATTCCATTTGAAATGTGACCATATAGTGGTGAAGATGTCTCTGACTCGTGTGGCAAGTGTACAACAAATGATGTTTCTAGTGTGCTCAGATTTACGTACTAGTATATCTCTAGACATCCATAGAAATAAAGACATTGTGGAATCCATAATGGAATGTTAGGAATGAGGAAGCTTCTACTGGCTGATAACAAACTTGTTCCTGTTTGTAACAAAGTCATTGCATATAAGCTCCAGGAAGAATATGCTTTTGTTATAGGATATGGTTTTAGCTGAATGTTTTGGTGAATTAAATTGAAAACCCTGTTATCTTGACAGTTGTTTCTACTGCCCAGTGACACTAACATCAAGTGGGTTTGAACGGGTCATTGTGATGTCACGCCTCATAGTTTTCAAGAGCATTTAAATCCACTGGTGTTTTGGTGTAGTGGGATTGTTTGGGTTGTGCAGCTCGGTAATGTGCCCAAGATGCAGTCTGAATATGGGTTCTGCCTAAATGTGTTACTCAAGCTTTTAAAGAACTACTGAAAAAGCAAACCTTACAGTATAATTAGGTCACTGAGCCTTAACACACAAAGCTTATGTACTTAAAACTCCAAAAGCTTTTAACATTTACAATGAGAAATCTTACTTATCCGTGTATGTTTCTGAATATGCTCTATTTATGTTTCTATGACAAGATTCCCTTAATTTAATTGCATCATGCTTTCCACTTGATGTAAAAGGAGGAATGCATCCTATTTGTTGATTTCATTTTTGTTTTTCCCCTGCCTGTCCCAATGCAGTTGACTGCAATTTCTATAGCAAGAACTTGCTGATGGTGGGGAAGACCTACATGATGTTGAAAGAGGAGGAGAAGGCCAGGATGTGGCTTTCTAAAGCCAGGGACTATCCAGCTCACACGGAGGAAGACAAGCAGGTAGGAATCTGGGTCTTAGCCCAGCGTCAGCTAGTCAGAGATACTTGATAGTCGCACATATAGATCACTTCTGGAGAGTCTGATTCTTGTGGTGTAGTCTCTGTGTACCAAGTGCCTCCCAGCTTGGTCCTTTTTAAAATAAATATCTGGTGCTTTGATGAAACAAAGTAACATGCTCTACTGTTAAGACAGAAGGCATTGGGAACTCTTAAAGGGGAACGGCAGTCCCAATTTCTCAGACTGATAATTTTGAATTTGAGAGAATTGTGACATGAAAGCAGCCATGTCTGCTCATTAGGCACTGCAAGGAAATGAGAAACCTTTAATCCTTTTTTGTCTTTTAGAACTATATATAGATATATTTTAAATGATGCGCCACTGTCAGGTATTTGGCTGTTCAGAACATGATGGTCGCACACTAAACAAATGATCAGATCACCAGAAAGTCTAACTTGTTTCCTTTTCCACGGGCTATTCAACTAGCTAAGAGATGGGTGATAAACTTGGGCACTGATGTTGGTCCCATTGACACATTTCTTGGTGGGATTCAGTGTGATGTACAATCGAATAAGTACAGTGCAGCAGATATTTCACCCCAGATATTTTCGAATTAGAATTAGATCTGCATAATGTGTTAACAAGTATTATTTGTCGGCAAAAGTCTTGAAGTCGATTTGTCGAATTCAATTCAGTTGTGCTCTTTCAAATTAGCTGTTGAGGCAACGGCAACAATACCTGCAAAAATATAAGTCCTATTAGAATTTTTCTTCAGAGTGCGGTTTACCATGAAATAACCACTAATGTAAACGATGGAGCACTTTTTAAAAACTTGAAAATGAAACTTTTAGTTGGTTGGCAGGTTGCTCTTTTTTTGTAATACATAAAGTAGCTAAAAACACATTGTCTTTTGTTGGTTTCATGAAAATATTAAAATTAATATCAGCAAAATCCACTTGGTCCACATGTTTCCAATGTAATAGGGCTGCTTTCACGTCACCAGACATTTTGTTGCCTCCTTCTGAATCGCAGACAGCAATATGGCACTATGCATATTGTATGTCGAAACTTCTCTTTTGTGATGTAAATTGGAAGTTGTACACATTACCATGTACCTGTTAGTTTCATTGTGGTTTGAAATACACTCATCATTGCCAATTCATTAGAACCTCAAAATGTAAAAATAGTGTTGCGGTTCCCCTTTAACTGGTCATGCCTCTTGATTTGATATGCTGTATTTTAGTTCACTGTTAAAAGAGAAAATAACCAAGAAAGCCCTTATATTGCAGAAATTATTTTTCTGCATAAACTGCCATCAACCAGGGATTTGACATTTTTTCCTTCTTTCTAGGTTCATAAAGAGGCAGTTGACCTTCTTAAAAAACTCAATAACTGACAGCATGTCCATCCAAGAACTGGATCTCATTCTATATTCATTACCTACATGAATAACATTTTTTCTAAATTGTTTTATGCCCTTACCAAGACATTTTAGATTCTTAATTACAGAAGAATTAATTCTAAACTAGCAGGTTTTAAGAAAATATTTTCTTTATTGCATATTTGTGACACCTTCTGACCTCTTTTCTCACTTTTCCTACCCACTCTCAAATGTTTTTTGTTCTGCTTATGCCTCCCTTATGTCCCACTTACCTACTACAGTTTCTACTTTTCAATGTGAAATTAACTTCTACTCATTCCTTTGCAAATTTCACTGAAGCATTTCCCCTCTGGAGTATATATATTCACGTATATACACAGTTTATATATATATGAAATACTTATTTTGTTTACATATATAGCTCTAACTTCAACAGCATTGAATTACAATTACAATTACAAATGTTTTATTTGGCTATGCTTTACCTAATGTAGCAATTTGTCCATGCAGTGGTTTTGTTACAGAAATAAAACAAAATGACTCAGCTTTTGCTGGGAATCAAGACCTTCAGCAAAAGATTCTCATGGTACATACTGTACATTACTACAATTTCCAAACTTGGCTGATATGAAAATCATGGTTTTCTTGTATTAATAAACTTATTTTCAAAAGTGTCTCCAACAGGCAATAACTTCTATCAGAGCATTTTAAATCTTTTAATAAGAGTCAGTCTCTATGTGCACATGCTTGCTAGTCTGAAGCTCACCATCACTGAGACCCATTAGGTTCTGTTTCAGGCAACAGGGGTCTGGCTGCTCAGGACAGGAATTGACACTGGTATGAAACTCTGATGGCATGAATGATAATAGCTGTATCAAAATTAATTGAGGAAACACTAAATACCCCCTTTTCCACCAGTTTGGTGATGTCCTTGGAAAATCTGAAGAGCGTGTCAGAGTGTAACTGGAATGTTAGAATTAAGCTGCAAATTCTGAAGCAAATGTGAAGACAGGCAAAGGTGCCAAGAGACAAACCCTACATTAAGATGTGGCACGGAAAATGTTAATTAAGCAATGCACACCATTGATTTAAGTTAAAATTTAATCTCAATCCAAAATCCAAAAATTTCCTTACTGCCATATCACACATTTTCATAGAGTTTCTTGAAGAAATTGCTTTTATATTTTAGTAAACTGAAATGTTTGAAAACTTTTTTTATTCATGGTGTAAATTAGTTATGTCAATCTGTAGCATTGTTTCTCTAGACTAGTATATTTTAAATCAAGCAAAGAAGCACAGAACATGCTCGAACAATTTAATTTGCTTACTTTTTACCACCAGTATATAAACCACTATGCAGCATGATCTTGTCATCTCTGACACTAACAAGGCCAGGTCTGGACAGTATGGGATACCCAAGTTACACCACGTTGCCCAAACTTAGTTGCAAGGTGGAAATCAGAAAGAAATGTAGGTATGGACTGATCTGAAAGGCTATGATGTTACTTACAATTATAAGAGGAATGGACATTGGCACAGCCTGGTAGGCACCACTTGTGTCTTTTGCACTTACTTGCATTCTTGCACTATGAAGCAAATGCTTCTGAAAGATTTACAACTTGTGCAATTCTAAATAATTGACAAGCTAGAATGCATCAAGATGAGGTAGGAGGCTTTTTTATTTTTATCCTAGAAAGAGGATTTAAAGATCTATTTATCCCACACAATTGAACAAATAAAAATATCAAATGCAAAGACTGTCAAGATACATTTATTAAATATGGTTCTTTCCACAGGCAGGTCTGAAAAAAATCCAACAAGATAAATCCTGAGCAAAGATTTTTAACCCAATTTTTAACTATAGGACAAGTTTACTTAAAAACCAAATCATTCGATGGTAAGCAGGTAAAAATAAAATCAAATCCTCTGTACATGTTTTAAACAGCTCGAGCTGTACAGTATACATTTTTACAGTGTTGACTACATTTGATATGTTACAGTATTTTGTCATTGATAGAAATAATACATCACAGAACCCCAAAAGATCAATTTCCTGGGACTGTAAAAATGTAATGAAACTGTATGCTATATATTCCTTTGATATAAAGAGTACATTTTACAATTGTCTTTTTCTTCTTAGGAAGCACAATTTACCTAAAGTAGTTTTTACTGTAATTAACACTAAGGGTTCTGATGGAATATAAAGATCTTTGATTTTTATGTAATTACAAATATAAGTTTATTTTACATATTTGAAATTACACAATGAAAAGCTGTACTGTACTTGGGGGCTATCTACATGACACAATTAATGCAGTATGAACATTATTCTTTCAAAAAGACTATTATGTTGTAATGTGAAAAATGAATTGCATGACACTGAATAACATTGTGCTAGGAATTTTCCAGCACACTAGAATGTCTTTTATCCTTGGCTGCACCGAGTCTCCAATAATGGTGAAAACCCAAAAGCACTATCATCAGTCTTCTCTGAATTTCAGTTCAGACAATGTTTTACAGCTCAGTGCATGTGAAGATGTCAAAGCCATAATTACAGACAATGTTAAGTCTAAAAATCAGTACACAGATTAAATCAATGGGTAAAATTCAGATTGCTGTTTTAACACCTGTGTGACAAGAAGTCAAATATGCACACAAACTATCTCATAGCAAAAGACGAATAAGCTGAAATTTGTAAAATGAATGTAAGCGGACTCCTTTAAACCTAAAGCAGATCGTTACTGCAACAGGAAAACACCGCTGCATTGTTACTACCTTTAAGAGCAGTACGGTGAAAAAGACACTGAGTCCCGTAGATAGGTTTAAGTAAACTATAAGCCCTTCCTGAACTGGCAAACTGACTACATGCGCCAATCTTATAGAGTGCAAGTCAGTGCACTGCCTACATAGCATTACACTTATTACACTGCGCTCAACAACTGCCTAGTCAAGGTTCTGAGGATGCATTAGTACAAAGGTCAAAGAAGCATTATAACATTAGGCTCTATTCACTGCATGGTTAGCAGCTGTATCTGCACTCTGCAGTCCAGTATTTTGACATTATGAAATGCAATAAACCTTTTTAAAGGATGGACCAGAGTTCAGCATACAATGCAGATTCCCTCAACCTTAAAAGTTTTCCTCTGAAACCCAAGATGTTGTTTATTTTCAAACTGAAATTACAGAGTGTAATGAAAGACTTTGTACAACTTTCAAACATGCAACATTAACAAATCTGCCTTTTCAAATGCAAACTTGTCCTTACACCTTTGGCAGGTATTGAGATATTGCAGCTTAACCAGAAAAGGTAAAACTTGTATTTTACATCTCAATAGCTGTGTCCTCTTGCAACAAACAAATTGTAGCTGTCTCCTTTTTGCTAGTAAAATAGTTATTTAATAAAAAATCAGTTTTACATCGCAAAAAGAGACTGCAGCAAGTAGGAAGCCAGAACATCAGTTTTTATTCTTGAAGTATCAATGTTGGTTGCTTTAATTTTTTGTACAATATTTTTGAAATCAAGATAACAGAAGCCACGTTTGACCAAAAGGCCTATGACAAACCCCTCTGTGAAGTATTCATCTACATTTTCTGCGCATTTTGTTCCATATTTAATCCTATCTGAAAAGTCCACTTCTTACATAATTAACCCTTTTTCAGCTGAGGAAATGTAACTTGTTTTTTTAGTGTGAGTGATGTGGAGTCCAAGGAAAATTACTGATGAAGTGACAGAAATAACACTTTCTCCCAACACTAGATAAGGGTTTCAAGAGCTGGTCTGCCTTAAAAAAACAGTCTTATTTATAAAGAAACGAAAATGTTTTTAATACACTGTAATTAACTTATATGCAGCTTCTGAAAGGTGTTACAATCACCTTTAGAATTAATACTTTTCAATCTGAAGTCCTACTGGGTGTATTGATTCTACAAACACCTCAACCAAAATAACAACTACATTCCATATTATTTATACATTTGTTCTGTCTTACCATTTTCAATTGAAGCTAATATTTTAATTTATCCATCAGTCTAATTTATTGTACTTTGTGCCATATGAAAGAATCTCTCCCTCTGCACTGATGGTAATCTCACCTCAAGAGAGCGAGCGAAGGTGGCAAGAATTCACTGCTGCCCAAGACACTACATTGTGATGTTTGAAGGTCAGCATTTTTTCTTCAGGTTAAATAGTTTTATGTAACCTAATAAAAAAAACGTTTGTGCAACAAAGATATACTGTGAAATATTGCTTTCCCCTGAGCACTCTTATTTTACTAGAAACTCAGTGGTTCACAATCCTGGTACTGGAGGAGTCTGTCTTGATAATTTTTTATCCTGCTGAGTTTTTCCATCACCAGTACTAATTGGTGGCTACAACCGATCTGCTTGCAAGTGTAGATTTTTTTCTGCACTCAGTCCTTGGTTTCAAATACATTATTTCCAACAACTTCAGCATACAGAACTGAATGAATCCTTTCTTTAACCTGCTAATTAAGAATTTGCTCCTTTATTTCCATCTTAACAGCTCATTATTTTTGATCAATTGATGAACAGACACAGATGGGAACAGGACTTTCAGACACTCCAGCAGTGTCAGTGGTTTTTCTTTCTGATTAAGTCCAGTTGGCTACATTTCAGTTAATCTTTTGAGCTTAAAGTAAGAACTCAGCTGGAGCAAAACCAGAACAGATGGGGGATACCCAGAAACAGGATAATCACTGTATTCAGATATTTTTGAAACCGAGGTCTAAGTGTAGAAAAAAAAACAAATAAGTTACTAGCAGCAATTCGCCCTGGTGATTAGCAGCCAAGATGGAACACAAAACAGCAGAAAGAGTGTAGAACCAGGGCTGAGAACCACTGTTTACACTAGTTACTACTAAATGAGATAGACAGGGCTGCCTGTTCCTTTAAAAGAAAAGCAGCGCATTGCATAACAGAGCTCCTACTCATACTGCTTTACACTCTCCACCAGGACTGCTACAGGCTCTCAGACTCACATGTGCTTATATAAACAGGGCTGCAAATTTTAATACTTATTTCTTCCAAAACCATTCGTCTTTAAATGCGTCTTAAACTAAGAAGGCAATTACCACTGAAACTTTAAATGAGCCTCTATACTCTTGTTTTTTTCAAAATGCAGACTGCTGTATGTCCTCCCCAGCAGTAAATTCAAATAATGCATGTCTGTTAATTACCTGTCAGTTAATCCTGCCATTCATTTCTTTGCCATTTATTTTATTTTTTTAGATTTATTAAACAATAATGTGGTCACTAGTCTGTTTCATCAGATATGTGCAATTCAATATGGTTTAAAAATGCTATTTCAATTGTGAACCAAAGAAATAAACATTAAAAGCTGGCAGCCCAAGCTGATGCCTTTAAACACACATAACCAAGAAACGAGATACGTTTTGACAGTTGCCTCCAAATGTAGTCACCCTGGATAAAATGTATTTAAAATCTAATTGAGCTGAGAAAATGCAGGTGTGTAATTCAACAATTACAAAACTAAAAATGTACCATATCAATAGCATATGTTAAAATAAATAACTTAGTCATACCCTCTAGACTGCTCACACAAAAGCCATAAATGTAATTCTGCAGTTTTTCCTTTGGTAATGTGGTAGGTCCACAAAGAGACCAGAACTGGGAATGTCTCAATGTTTGCCAGGACAGACAAAACCTGATGCTGTGTGTCAAGAAGCACAAATTTCATTGCAAATGCACCAGCAGGTGGACAATCCAAAACACACATAAAGTCTACAATCAGTTGGTTACGACAACATTAATTCAGCCTTCTTGATCATCTAAAATGCCACTGTAGTTCAGCCTAAATCTATAAAAAGGGTGCAGGAGGGTTACCCAAGATTAAGGATCCACAAAATACTGATTAAATACAAGATTAAGGATCCACAAAATATGTTCCTATCAAAGTATGTCTCATTTTGAAAGATATGCTATTAAATCTAGTGATAATCATACATTTTTTTAATATAAGTGCACACATGAATTCTGTTTGATAAATAAATTTGAGTACACTTCATCCAGAGCATAGAAATTTGGTTGAAACTAACAGTGCTTATGTTTTTAAACAATTTATACAGACTTAGTGATTATATTTCAACTAACTATTCTTAAGGTTTGCCAAGTTAGAGCATCACTAGGTGTGAACAAATTTGTGATTGGCTTTAACAAAAATGTCTTATCTTCAGGATGCAGCAATAAAGTTTTTATTACACAGATTTTCAAATTAGCTTTTGATGGGTTATTACAAATACTTCATTTCTACGTAAATGTTACAATGCTAGGTGGCGTTAAAGAATGAGGTCTTTGAACCCAGTAAACCCACTATATGGAGTAGTACAGGGGAGAACACCAAGGGCAGAAATTACACAAGAGCTCTATTTGACCTTTCTGAAAATAAAGCTAAAAAAGCATTAGACCTAGCTAGGAGAAAATAAACAAACAGGAGAGCTGAGTTAAATCTGCAGTGTGAAATCTTACCATTTTCGCAGCATTCTTCAGAGAAAAAAAATAAATTGAGGTTACAGTGCCTGGGCTGAATCTCGCTACACCTTACCAATTTCATTTTGTTTGTTCCGTACAGTGGGAGAGCTTATCATATACCCAAATGATAAACCAAACTGATGATGGCTTTGACTGGATTATAACCTTCATTTGAATAAAAGTTTAGGAAAACTGCATAGAAATGTGGCAATTGCTGGATTAAATTTAGTAACTGTAAACCTTAAATGTTTCCAGGAATATTTACTAACTGAATCAGTGCACGTCAAGCTGCAATCTAAGCCTTATCCCACCTGCAAAATATGAGGTCATCATCAAGGCATGAAGCACAATAAACCACAAGATTAGCCATGTGTAGAAGAAAATTTAGATGGATACAAAAGGCCATGTTGAACAGAGCTCTCTATCTTTATGTCAGACAAGGTATGTTAATTTCAGTGATGCCTTGAAACAAGGCCAGGTGAGCTTCATTCTTTTCACTTTCCCTTCTGATCACAACATTTGCCATGTGATGGCCAGTCAGATACAGAGATCTAATGGCAACATTTCCAACACTGCTCACAGATACAAGTAGCAAGCAGTGAAGTAAATGTTACACTGCATAGTCAAATAAAAGGGAAACAAATATGAAAAAGTACCAGTGAATACAGAAAAAGATATGAGAGAGAATATGAGAGAGGGTTCACAGAGCTCTAACTAGACATGACATCCCTATTAATGTAGATGCAGAGAAAATCACCCATTCCTGCACATAGACCTTATCAATATTATGAGAATATCATCCCAATAGGCCAGCAGCATTTTTTACTCCCCAAGGCAGTCTTGGACTTCAAGCACTGCTACAGACAGCCATGCAAGAGCTGAACACTGGGGAAACACCACTAGAGTGACAGGGAACTGGGTGAATCCAAAGTGCACAGCCGAAAACAAAGAAGCCAGCCAAGAATGACCAGTCACCTTTGAGCTCTATAAAACTAGAGCCATAAACTAAACGTAGCTCCTCTTCTGAAACCCAGCCAAAAAAAAATCCCCCATTTTTGAAGGGGGAAAAAACATACAGTTAAAAGGAAGTTTTGCATATTTATGAGGCAGAATGAAGGGAAATTTGCTAGATGAGTTTCAGAAAAAAACAGTTTTAAATGACAAAATAGCTTATATACATTAGTAGGTATCTGTGCAACTTGATTTTCTTTTTTACTTGGCTGGGTACATTACTGAAGTTTTGCTCTTCTGAGTTCTGTTTCCACCATGAGTCCATCTACTCTTGGCCAAACCCTTCTGTCTCTTCAATGGCAAACAGGAGCTTCTCCTTCAGCTGCTCATAGCTTTTATATGGAGGCAGGTCTAGTCGGTTGAAACTGAAAATATATTTAAAACAAAAAATTCTTATGGAGTCTGTTCTAAATAAAATTTAATAGCCTTGATCACCAGTTTAATCTTACTGATGGTGTTCCAGCCTTTCTTTAAAAATAAATGTAAATTACATGTAAAATTAAATAATTGAGGACAGCCAAGTTTTCCAACTCCATGAAAGCAGGATAACTATGTTATATGGAAATCACATGGAAAAAACTGTTTTCCTCTGCACGGACACTGCTGAGAATTCCAAAGCACCAACAAGGCTGTCCTGTGGCTGGCACTCAGCCTTCACTCAACCAGCATAGACAGCTGTCCTATGAGCATAAAAGTGTGCATAAAGTGTGTTCTTTCAGTTCTGCACCTTCTCCTCTGCAGCACTCATTATGAATTTATACTACAACCTGACACCAAATGACAAGACACGAGACACAGTAATGAATGCAGCACAATTTTTAAGTATTGGCTACAAAACGTTTTGTATTAGAGTTGTGGTAACAGACATGCTCACCATGTATGGCTCCTGGGCAGCCATGTGTCTTTTCCCACCTTCTCAATGCAGAATTTCTGAGGACCATTGCTCCCTTTAAGGAAGAAAGAAACCAACATCCAGAGCCCAGGTAAACGGACAGAAACTAAAAAATAAGTTTCTCTTCCTACTTAAATTACAAACAAAAGCAAGTCAATACAAGGGCCATTACTGTACGGATATACACTTTTAAACAATCATAATAATCTTGTAAATATCACTGCAAAAATAGTCACAGAAAAAGGACATGATCATTTTATTTCTTTCCATTTATTGCCATGAAAAATCATCATTATTGATTTCCAAGGCCAGTTTGCCTCATGTCCCTTCAATAGATGAGGACTTTGTACATCGAAAAACATTCAGCTCCACACATTTAAGATTTACATTTGACTGCGAATGCATATTTACATAGATTAATGGTTGACTTATCTAATTTCTCAAATAATTCCTGTTAGGAATCTGAACTTTAGAAGGGTTGTGAGCTCAAATATACAGTTGGATGCTACTGTTGTACTTTTAAGCAAGATACTTGCATTAGTAGTATATTTTATGTCCTTTGTACTTATAAAAATGACATTAAACATTACAATATTTTCAACCAAACAGATAAATCGTATTTCAGGACACCTGAATTGCATTGCCCAAACCATGTCTATTAACATTAATTGTTTATAAGGTATCCTCTTTTATCTAATGTAACAGAATTAATTAAAATCATAATACAAGTTTAATAAGAGATGTACTGGGATTACAATTCACTTTTTTAATGGTCACTACAGATGCCACAATAACAACTCACCCATCAGCTCAGCAAAACCCCCAAGAGGTAGCCTGCAGGTGCCCGTGACAAACTGCATCAGTCGGAGACGAACCTCATTATCCACCTCCTTCACAAACTGCCCAGAGAGGAAGAGAGACACTTGCCTAACATGATCATGATCTTTTATTCTTTTTTACATTTTAATTGTGCCTTATTTATGATTCTCTGCTAATATGCACTACATGATATAATTTTGGAACTGCTTCCCTCAATAAGCTAATACACCCTCTCCTTTAACTGGGAGCAAGACTGAAAAAAGGAGAGGGAATGACAGAAAAGTGAGAAAGACCAGGAAAAATTATTTATGCAATATATCTGTTTCTGCAGGTACAGAGTACCAGACATATATTTTTTTAATATTCCAATTGCGTTGTCACTTGAAAGTACCATGTTTCTCAAAGTCTCGTCTGAAAAACAATATTGATATTTCAATATCACTGAAATACATTGATGAATCAATATCCTACTCAATTTCAATATATACAGTTCATGTCTTGCGCACTATTGTGGAAACGCTTGACTGCGGTGCAAACTTCTGAAGTTACTATAGGCTGATCAAAGACTGACAGTTTCAGCGATATTTTGCATTCCCTGTATTTTAAAAAGGTGTTCAGGGTCTGTTTCTAGTACTATGGGTTTCACACCTGCCAGAACCAGATGATCTGTTTGCTGTTTCTGGTGTAGTGGCGATAGACTGTGTTTCTCTGCCAGTCCTGCAAGTCCACCTCCTGCATTCCGCACAGCATCACCTTCAAAAACACAAGCTCTGCTTACAAACCCTCCCCGGTGATCCAAGGAGTCTCTTCACAATAGCATGTCAGGATAACCTACACATTCCCTTTTAATTCCCACCAATTAGAGTGCACCACCTGCACAGACTGTAACTATAATAACTGCATATTAAAGGGGGTGTAATAAAATGCAAAGGACAAAGGTTTCTGCACATTAAGCCGAGTTTCATTACATACATTGCACCAAGAGTCTCCAAATAGCAAAGCAGCTCCACACCTACTCAACAAGAACCACAAAAGTTAAAATGCACAGATGCCAAAGCATTCTATTTAAATCTGGTAGCTCTATACCTTGTGCTTCCTTGCAATTCCATCTTGGTCTAAACAGATGGAATTGAAAATTCCAATTTTCAGGGAGGTTAAATGTACACTATAGGGAGACTGAATTAATGAGTTTCACAGAATTTAAAGACTGCCTTCTAAGGTTCTAAGGCCAGGAGAATTTTTAGATTTAAGGACAATTTTTCACTACTGGTTGACTTTTGCAAAGTCAAGTCAGGTGGACATTAAGAAAGAATAACTACAATTTTTAAACTCAAAAGTACCAAAACCACCCAGGTGAATTTTCCATTAAGATTGGAAAGGGTCAAGCAACAAAATCCCACTTTTCTGCTTAGGTTTTGTGGAATGATCTATGCATAAAGATCATCACCAGGGAAATCGCACTGAGGGAGAGCAGGTGTATTGGTATGCAGAGTTTGGCAGTCTTTTCAACCTTACCTCCAGCTCCTTTTCATCAAAGTACTGTAGCCACTGTAGAGGCACCACTTCATTAAAGCCGTCCAAAAATGCTTTGGTTTGTTCTTCCACTCCCCGGGAAAAGCGCCACTCTGCCATCAGCCTGTGCACAATGCAAGCACACCTCCTTCAGTTTTCCTTTCATAAACTCAATTTGGCTCATGTGTGCCTAGATTTTTTTGGGAAACAGGGACTTGCATGCCTTCAGAGATGCAATCTCTGACTTATCGCTCAGATCTAGATCAGTCTATCCCCCTAAACTTAGTTGCCAGACAAGAAGCTAGCGACACTGAACGAGCTACAGAAGTCAGTGGCTGCAACAGAAGATAACGTACATAGATCAACAATCTCCAAGGAATTACACAAAAGGGGAGGGTTGCAAAGAAGAAGCCTTGGTTGAAAAAAATCCATATCCTTGTCTGCAAAAGAGCTCACAAAACGTCATCTAGAAAATACTGCAGAGATGTGACAGAAAGTCTGTCTGAGGAGACTAAAGAGGAAACGCTTGGCCTGAATGCTAAGCAGTATGTATGGGACAAATCAAACACTGCATGGCAGCCACGTAAGACCATCACCACCATTAAGTATAGCGGTGGTAGAAACAGTTATGGGGATGCTTTACATTGGTGCGCATTCCAGACAAATCCTGGCCAAAACCTGATACCCTGTACCAGAAAGCTCAAACTGGGGAAGAAGTCTGTCTTTCAACAGGACAGCAACACTAGAGTCGCTTAAAAATGAGGAAAAGTGATGTCTTTGAGTGGCCCAATCAGAGTCCTAACCTTAATCCCATTGAAAATCTGTGGCAAGAACTCAAACTTGCTGTCCATTGCTGCTCTCCCACTATCCTGACCAAACTTGAGCCCTTTTGCTAGCAGGAATGGGCAAATAATACTCCATCTCAATGTGCAAATTTAATAGACTGGCTGCAATAGCTGCCAGATGGTTAAATTAAGTATTGACCAAAGGGGATGAATAATTATTAAAGGATGACATTTCATTTTTATTTTTAATTGACTTATGGTTTATTATCAGCTTTCTTTTTATGGGGGGACTCTGTAAAGATAAATATGTGACTCACAATAAAAATTCCCATTCTAAAAAAAACTTCCAGGCTGTGAGATTCTTAAGTGTAAAAAAGGGATGGGTGCTGAACACGTTGTCAAGGCACTGTACAGTTTTTGTGCCAGTTACCAGACAAATGGCTTGAAAAAATACCAACAACATCAAGCAGCTCACAATGGAATAATAAGTCAAGCATATTCTACGGACTCCTGTGGTCCTTGCACTACATGGTCATCCATACTGCCAAGGTGTGAGTATGAAATTGTCCTAGTGCTTAAGATTTCTTCTCTAGCTTGTAAACAAGCATGCTCCTACCTCTAACAGACCACTAAAATAATGTCTTTGTCATGACATTATGATGCCCTGCAGTGTGGCAGTTCTAAGAATTGCACTGTACAAGAAATTGCTGGCTACATCACTGCTTCACAGGGAACAAACTGACAGTTCTAGTGGGAATCTTTGATCAAGACTGTCCAGAATCAATTTAATTTGGTTTAATAGTATGATATCCTAATAACATCAAATTTCCATTTTTACCTAACGTGTAAGATTGATCTGAATATTCAGAAAGGATAACCGATAATTGACAGTCTTCAGGACTGTTTTTTGCATCTTGTGCCCAGGGGAGGAGTGTGACAGTAGGAACCCAGAGGTCTTACCCAATGTATTCCTCCTTGTTCTCCTCCGTCACCAGCAGATTTGTACCACCTGCCTTCAGATCATGTGAGGTAACTTTTCCCAGAATTTCCATGTCCACCGAAAAATACATTTCCAATCCGCACTCCTCAATGTTGTTGTCCCTTTTGTGACAGAAAACAGTTCTGGTAAAATATGCACATGCACACATTTTTACACATACAAATGAAAACATTTAACAGCCAATTTTCCAGCATATCTTTGTATGTTTGCCCCATGTTCAAGTGGGTTTTCTCTGTGTGCTCGGATTTCCTCCCACAGTCCAAACTTTACACAGGTAACACCCCAGGTCTGGAACTGGACCCCGGGCCCCAGCACTGCAAGGCAGCAATGCTAACTACCAAGCTGCCCTTATATACACCAGTTTTATACATATATTTTAATTGTTTGCATGAAAACCTTAGCATACCTTATCCAGATAAGAGAGTTGTAAAACTCTGGGTCGATGGATTCCAGATCTTTGATTGTGAGCTTCTTGTTCAACATGCGCTTATAGAATGGCAGGGAAAACCCTGTGTCAATGAATTTACCATGAAACAGTGCCTGTTGAAAGAAAGGGAAAGAAAACAGTAATTAGGCCAAGACAAAGGAGCAAGAGTTGTTATTCTTGAGAACTCTTCAAATGTAGACAAACACCAGCACAACAGATCAGTGAAATGCTCTCCTTGTGGAGATGACTACTTTCAAAATTATGGGGTATCAGTTCTAAAAACATACAAGTTCTTACAAACAAGAGAAGGCAGTCTAGTCCATTTTACTCATTTTAACTTCTAATAGCTGATCGATCACCAAATCTCAACAAACCACCTAGTTGAAAGATCCTAATATTGTCTATGTAAGCCTATATGAGCACTTTGTTCCAGACAAAGTAACTCTTTGAGTTTCTTATGTACACAAATACATCTCTTAGTTGTCTGTTCTGTATATACAGTATAACTCTTTGTAATGTATTTAAGATTCAACATCAAAGAAATCTGGCACACAAAGAGGCATGAAGTTTGTGTACTGAACAATAAACAGAATTCAAACTTAACTCAGAGGTACACACACAAACCTTAAAGCAACTAAGCTCCGCACTGATGGATGTTATATAACAAGTCACATATCTTCTAGCTTTGAAAAGGCAGTTGTGGAAATGTTTTCAAAGGAGTGTGCAATATGACATTGGGTTTTCCATTGTACTGCATCCTTTCACTTTGAATTTATGCCACAAACAATACATTTTCTCAAGACTTGGAAAGTCTGTGTTTGTATAAGTTTTCATCCACAACAATAAATAACTCCTAAAAGGTCAAGTCACCACTACGTCAAGCATTCAGGAAATTAAAAAAAAATTCTCAGAGGATTTTTTGTTTTGTTTTCCAGTAACCAGTTCTTTGCATCTCCTGCAGCACTGTGAAAGTGAGCTGCCCTTCCCACTGAGCTGCAGATACTCAGCTCAAAGCAGCAGTTGGCTGTAGTCCTATGAGTGCCATTATCAAGCCCTTAAAACAACCACATCATCCAATCAGAAGTGGATGAATGAGTAAGTACATTATTTAAGTAATGATAGTTCAGTGCTGAAAGCTTACTCCTAATTTTTCATCTTTAAATCCCCTTATCTATCCATTCATTATCAGTAAGCTGCTGATCTTCACAATGCAAGCTAGAACCTCACTGAAGCATACGGCCCAAGGCAGGACTGACAGCAGTCCATCACACAGACCAGTTTGAGTAACAAGTCTAAATCTAGCTAACACATCCTTGGGAGGTCAGAAAAAACACACACAGTTCCCACTAGATTACCAAGACTAGAATGGATCCCAGTAATTTCAAAATCAAGGCTTAGCAAAATGTTTTAGATTTACTGCCCACTATTTTAAATTAATTTGATTAATCCACCATGCATTACTTTTATACAAGAATGTTTAACTTTCTTCCAAAGCCCAACAGTTTTCCTTATTAAAACAGTGTACATGTATCCATGTCAAAGCCTACCTGTAAAAGTGACTCTAGTTTCAAAAGCAAGCACAGTACTACATGTTGATATGCATGGAATACCTGATGCACATGCATATAATCTATGCAAATAAAAGCACAAATACATAATCTTATAATGGAGTTTAAATCCAAGATGGAAAGTGAAGAGAAAAGAATACACCATGCTCTGGCTGTGGAACCTTCTTCATGTATGTGAAGGAAAGACAAGCTCCACTGCTCTATATTCCTTTCCACAGACTGCTACAGCTTCCTACTCAAACCTCTTCAGAGGTCTAGTATACCACTGTTATTTCACAGAAAATTCACCAATGACTATCTGCGGGTCACATTCATGTTAAAAAAACAAAATCTGAAAAAGACCCCATCCAGAGGGTTGTAGAGGCTACTATGTGTGCTCACTATGGCCAAGTGGAGGTGCCCAGCCAGCTTGGGAACTGAGGGGATACAGTGCCTTCAGAAAGTATTCACCCCCTTGAAGTTTTTCACATTTTGTTCCTATTACACGTCAATATTTTAACACATTGAAATAATTTTTTCTCCCTTAAATAACACAATAAATTAAACACATTTATGAATAAAAAATATTTTTATTCAAAAACATTCATTTACATTTCTCATTTATAAAAGTATTCCCCCCTGAGTCAATACTTTGTACATAGTCCTTTAGCAGCAATTACTGCAGTGAATCTTCTTGGGTATGTCTGTATGAACTTTGCACATTTAGATTGTGAAATTTGTTTCTATTGTTCAATGCAATTTTGCTCCAACTCCGCCAAATTAGATGGAGACCGTCAGTGGACAGCAATTTCAGGTCATACCACAAATTTTCAATTGGATTCAAGTCTGGGCTCTGGCTTGCCCATTCCAGAACACCAACCTTTTTTTCAAGCCATTCCTTGATAGTTTTTGCCATATGCTTTGGGTCATTGCACTGCTGGAAAATGAATCTTTGCCCTAAACACAGAGCTCTGGCTGACTGAAAAGGTTCTCCTCAAGGATCTGCCTGGATTTGTCTCCATCCATGTTGCCCTTGATGGTTCACCAGTTCCTCCTGGTGAAAAGCAACCCCAGTTTCTCCCATTTCAGCCAAACAGCTCTGCAACTCTGTCAGTGTTGTAGCTGGCCTCTTGGTCACTTCTCTGGCAATTGCCCTTCTTGTCCAGTTGCTCAATTTGGTAGGACGGCCTGATATTAGTAGTGTCTGGGTTGTGCCATGTTTTTTCCATTTTGTTACAATGGACATCACGGTGCTCCTAGGAAGGTTCAAAGCTTTGCCAATCTTTTTATAACCATCTTTAGCTTTTTTCCTCTTAACAACTTCTTATCAAAGTTCCATGGGCAGCTCCTTGGTCTTCATGACAGCAGGGCTGATCTGATCTGCTATTTTAGTTGTGAGACCTCACAAAGTCACAAAATGATATTTACTGTGCAATCAACCAACTGAACACAGGTGGATTCAAAATGAACACAGGGTGTACCTTGTTAACGTATTTGGTGTGATCTCTCAAGATAACTGAATACCTCACCCAATTTAGTTGTTGAAACAAAGGGGGTGAATACTTATCAAGTAATTTTCAGATTTTTATTTTTAATATAATTCTGTAGACATCAAAATACATTATTTCATTTTAACATTATAAAGAATACTCCCTACAGGAGGGAAAAAAATCACATTTAAATATGCTTTAATTTGACTTTGCACCACAACAGAACGAGAAATAATCAATGGGGGGGTAAATACTTTCTGAAGAAGGCACTGTATGTGGGAAGAAATGGAAAACCAACCTCACCACACAAAGGCAGCTCTGTTGGACACATCAGGCACCAATAAGATACACATGCCTGAGCCTGGTTCTCCCTGGACCAGGTCACAGTGAAGACAAGAAACCTCTGGCAGAAACACTGCTCTTTGTTAAGTGGTAACGCAGTAGAACGAAACAAAATTCCAGACTGAGATATAAACTGGGCAAGAGGTTTAAAAACCAAAAGTGAAATGGCAAAAGGGGAAAAAGGTTTAGGAGGAGCACACTTGCCATGGCGATGAAACGACCAATGAAGCAGAAGTAGGACAGATGGTCAGGGTTTATGGTGGACGCTGGGTTGATCTGCAGGCAGTAGTTGCTCTTGCCTGCGTACTCAAACAGGCAGTACATGGGATTCAGCACCTCGTGGGAAAGCAGAAAGAACCACTCTCTGAAAAAACAAAATTATAGCAGGAATGCATTATGAAATGAACCTGACATGGGAAAATTCTTAATTTATAAACAAATGCAGGACCATCTTAAAAAGTTGTAAAAGTATCCAAGGTCACCCAGAGAAGGAGGGAATACGTTTGGTTTTATAGAAAGATATTCCCTGGGAGAGAAAATTTCGGTGTATGATGGTAAGGCTTCGAATATATGTAATCTCTGCCTGCTGCTCACTCACCGTGCCAGTCCTCCATAGTCTAACCCCTCCTCTCCCCTGAATATGACATATAGCCTCCTCCGCAGGTCATAAGGCTTCAGGGCCATAATCTGCAAACACAAACCAGCAGGATTAATTTCAATGCCAGGTCTGATGATGACAAACACAGAAGTAAAATTTAATGGATAGAAAAAAAGACAAGTCTTACCTGCTGAAAAGAGTCTTCAAACAATGTCTGTCGGGACACAGTGATTTTTACATGGCTGGGCAGTGCATTAGACTGTAAAGACAGGTGGCACAGAAACAGATTGAGCTGAGTTTGTAGGAAAAATTAACCTACTGAGGACTGAGACATCTTAAAATACATCAGGCATTACCTGGCATAAATAGCGGAAGTGGGCCAGTTTCCACCTAAAGCTGCGTTCATATGCGATCTGTGGGCCTTTGGTGCTGCAAGACAGTAAGAGAAACAGTTTTACAGTGTTCTGTCTTAGTAAACTGTCCTGCACTGTTATAAAAACCCACAACACAAATGAGTCTGAATGGGTTGCAATTCGGCAGGAAACCAAATGAGCAAACTGCTGCTAAGGTAGAGTACCTACAAAATGACTACCTACTGCTAATTAGTCCCAAACTTGTGCATATCAGTGAAATGAAATGTGCATAAAAGCAATGTAATGTTAAAAAGTATTTCCAGAGTTAAATAGCACTGTCAAATTATCGAAACACCTGTTATTCACTTTTACAGAAACAATCTGACTGACACGCATTACACGTATTTGGGAGCAACAGAATACACAAATAGCTATATAGTTACACTGTTTATATACTGTGTTTCATGCTCTTACATTACTGTCTAGCAGGTTCTAACAGACCGGAATAATTGACAACAATGTTTAGAAGGATAAGACTTAGTAATCATCCACTTTACAGCTGAAGAATTGGAGCTTCCTCTTATTACCAGTACAAGCTCCCCATTGCCTCAACAGCTGGACACAGAGCCTGTGTCCCTGAAACCAGTAGAGTCAGCCCTGAGTTCCTGGTGTTGCCCACTTACACAGAGGACTTGCCGGTGCGGGGGTCACTGAAGGTGGTTGTCCTGGTGTTGTGATCCACAAAGTAACGCACCCCCTCCCGAGTGTACCTGATCTCCCAGCCTTCAGGAAGTGGATCCTCATTCTGCAACCTGCTCCAAAGAAAACGCATCACTAGCAACATTTTGCATCAGGAGCTCCAAGCCTTAGTTTATTCTATAACATGTCTTCTCCAAAAAAAAAAATCTATCAAATAAAACAGCCATGATAACACAATCTAAAGCAGCTACTGCATCTTTACAACTTATAGTTCAGGTGGATAGCTGCGTCAGCATGCGTAGGCTGCAAAGGAACAAGTAATAGGTTTATTCCGTTCTGAAAAGAGAAGAAAGAAAACAACGTTTCGGCCGTGGATCCTTCTTCAGGTGTGTCACCTACTGCTTGGAAATGTCTTGACTAAGCCATCATAACTATGTTGCCCTACTGCTTTTGACACATACTAGTGCTATATTTAATATACTGAGGGGCCGTTATAAGATTTATTTGAACTAGAGCTTTCCTAGAGCACAAAGGATTATGTATATGTATCCCTTGATCAAAAAAATTCACTTATCTACACAAGTTACAAACTGAGATAAATCCAAGTTAAGGAAAACTTGCAACAAAACTTAAAACAACTGGTCTCATACACCCACCCTTGAGTGCGAGGGTCCTCCCACTGTGTGGTTTTGGTGTTATGGTTCACAAAGTATACCCGGTCGTTAGAGTCCACCCGTCGCTCTGGAAAAAACAGAGAAAGAGCTTCACAGATGAGGTGGGGCAAGTCTCTCACTGCTGGACGGCACATTGAGCTCTGTGTCAAAGGAATGAGAGGCAGGCTTTGTTTACATTGTGCTTGTGACATTCTAAATAAACTGCCCTAGCCCTGTTCCGTATGTTCTCATGTATACCTTCTCCATATAAATTTAGCTCTACAGCATCCAACCACAAACGCATGTAAGGTAAGGTGGCCCTCTGATATTGAGGTCTACCATGATCCGGAACAGCTGATATTCTAAATCACACAAAAAAGCTCCAGGAAGGCTATAACTGATCTCACTGGGGAACTGTTCTACAGGTGGCTGAGACTAAGTGCTGTGGTAAGGAAAATGAATTTACTGCTGTCTACAACTACTAGCAGCTCAGCATGGCCTGGATTCAAACCAGCAATAACAATAAATAAATTGCAAACCTCACTTGGCATGTTCTTCACTGTTCCAGCAGTCACTCGTAGGAAAAACTAATCATTCTACTTTAAACTTTGGGGCTGATAAAAATTATGGTTTTCCAAGCTAGTTATACATCCTTAGGAAAAAAAAACATTCAAACGGTTCTTCAGGCTTGTCTAGAGATTTCACTGAAACTTTAAACAGTTTTCAAAGGCAATCCAATCTGCAACTTCAAACACTGTCTCCCCCAGCTGCATTTGTGAATTTCATTAATTTTGTAAGACAAGTGGAATTACAGCTATAATTACCAACATGTTAATTTGTCCTGTATGTTAACATCACCACTAGAAAGGAAACTGAACTGTTTCCTTTCCCTGCCTCTGAAAAACAGACAAGGGATTACTCTTGCTAGTTATCCAATTCAAAAGAGCTTGTCTGGAATTCACATCATTACGTACCCCAGCCTGGAGGCAGAGGACCCAATGGATCATTTTCTGCTGACATCATTGAGGCCTGTTTACATTAAAATAAAGATCTATGTTAGAGGGAGAAAAAAAATCACAAAAAACCTGGCCTTTACAGAGAAGCTGTATTCTCTGCTCCTGACAAGTCACTCAAGTGCTTAGCTGGATGTTTTTCTTTAACAGCAACTAGAAGAGTGACATTTCTGGCCATAAGAGAATTACAAGTTTGCTGGCCTTAACAAATTAATCTTAAAATGTTAATAAGTCCAGTAAGAAAGCAACTGAGGAGAACAGTTCATCTGTTTAAAAATTCTGATTCCTAATGGGACCTAAACTGAACTATTCCACCAAAGCATACCGAGTAGAGGTATCGTTGGTTGAACTGGTGCATAGCTCCTTGCAGCTGGCTGCGCTGTGACTGCCATTGCTCAAAGTTGCGGACAGACTCCATTGTAGGGCGCTGCCAAGTGGTTGTTCGGGTGTTGTGATCTACATAGTAGATTCTTCCTCTGTCATCCACTCGTCTCTCCCAGCTGCAGAAATGAATACCTTGACATCAGCAACAGTTTATGCAACACATTCACAGCAACATCATTTCACCCCACACTGACTCCCCCAGAAAGGACACTTATTCTGGGGAATTTCATGTGTTATAGAACTACTCCCCCGTAGTGCCAGAACGCTATGACAAACAAGTCAATATTAAGATTTAATAATTTAATAACAAAATACCTCCATGCCTTAAAGCACAAGTCTTTTAAGCACTTTCCATAATTATCTAATGTTCTAAACCTGGTTGCTATTATTTAAAAAAATGTTTTCTGAATTTCACAATGGAAAAAGCCTGGTTCCAAAAACTATGAAGGTCTGGAAATAAACCTTGTTTACTTCCAACACTTCAATGAAAAACTGCAGTTTTTGTTAAACTGATGATGCTTGTTAGTTGCTGTGAGTATGGAGATAGTGTATGATCATCTGTCACAGCTTATGTTCATCCAAAAAAAGTTGTCTTTCATGAACATCTTGTATGACATTTATGCTACAGGCTTAGCCAACTAGGTTCATACCCCCCCGAGTCAAGGCTGACATACAATCAAATCTATGATGCACACATGCCTTCCTTCTGGAAAACTATGTTGATTAGGATGCGCGTATACAGAGATTACTTTCACAAAAAAATGTATCTAAGACACATGTATAAATCACATTTACACGTATGTAATCTGGGTCCCATTACTTTTCATGCACATCCTCTTGCCTTGCTCAAGAGGGGCACAACCTTCTATCCTTTCAGCTCAGGTTAGGGTTAGGTTAAAAAGTTTTGTGTGTACAAGGAGGCAAGGTTTTGCATCCCTACTTACAGGCTGAAATGGGCAATGTCCACAAAAGTCTGCTCAGAGCTACACAGTCCAGCATAGAAAAGTGTGAGCACGCCTTCCTCCAGAATTTGCACCGTCGAGCTGCCCCCCATTTCTTCACATTGCCCCCAGCAGAGCACGCACTGGGTGATGAAAGCCCTGCAAGTTCGTGGGCACACAGCAGCCACAGGAGGGCACTGTTGTACAGCATGCTGACGTTACCTCAGCGCACTCTTGTACAGCTGCAGCTTTTCAGTGCCTGGTCAACTAGGAGGCAATGCTTAAGTAGTCCTGATTTAAACAGTAGCCTCTGAACTATGATGCTTTTTGATTCACAGGATGAGCCTCTTAGGAGCTCTTCAAAGCACTCTTGCCTTTATAGGCAGGATGGCTTTCTTTTTGCACTGCACCTCCATGATTGCTATGACAAACTAAGGAAACATTCAAATTAAATGCATTTTGAGGAAGACAAACAGAAATTATTAATAGAACCCGAGACTGAAAAGACAGTACAACAGTATAAATTACTAAACAGCACTTTCCATTGCAGGAACATTTCATATACTATAGTTTTTGGGATTTCTGATGCTCCTAACTATTTCCGTTGTACTTTGTTTTTCCTATTACTAGTACCATTCGAGACAGAAACCGTGGTTTTTGTCTTCACTGCAGCTCACCCTGGCGGTAACGGCTGTGGTCTCTCCCATGTTGTGGTTCTCGTGTTGTGGTCAACATAGTAGGTCCTGCCATGCAAGTCTTTCCTCTGCTCCCACCTTCAGGCCAAAACACCAGAGAGACATTAATAAGAGCCAAGCCATTTTAATATTAACCTTCGCTTTCTGAATGGCTATTACAAACATTCCACCTCACAAACTTTGCCCTAAAATTGTTTTCTGTTTTTGCTGACATCACGCTGGCCCACTAGAAAACACTGTGGTGACTAGGGCAAGTACAAACCCCTTTCTTACTAGGTGCTGATAAGCAGTTGTAAAGCATCGCTGTTTTAAGTTTAAATCAACATGAGAATCAGGGATTACTAGATCAGGAAAACTTTATGCCCCTCCAGTATGTGACTACAAAGCCTTAACCTAAATTTCCTAAAGCAGTGACACAGGCAGGTTAGGATTGTTTGCAAGCTCACAGTGACAAAAAAACTACGCGCTTGCACAAGATCTATTCAACACCTAGCGTGACACGACACAACATTAAGTATAGATTAACTCTGAGAATTGGGCCAAACAGATATGAGTTGGTAACCTGCTTTGAAGATTTCAACCTTTCATATTTACAAGACAGAATTAAGTGACAATTTGGGATATTTTGGTCCTTGATTGGAACACACAAGACCATGTTTCTATCAGCTCCTGAAGGCACCAGACTCACCCAGGTGGAAGGGGATCTGTGCTGGCACTGCCTGTCTGCTGTCTGGGTTTTCCTCCCTCTGCTGCACTGCTGCTGTTGGCCCTGGCCTCGCTGACCGACGTGGAGGAAGAGGGAGCTTGGGCACCACCACTTGTTGCCACCATTGGAGGGCTCTCAGGCACAGGGGGTGGCGGTGAGGGAGCTGGTGCAGGATTCACTACTGGAGTAGATGTGGCAGCATCACAGCCACCTGCCAAACAGCCAGCAGAAGGTAGCACATCTTGCATGGCAGGAGTACAGCCAGGAATATCACCATTTACTGGGGGGAAAGGAGAAGAAAGTAAAAGGGTGGTTCTCAAGATACTTAACTCTCAAATCGCCTATATATAGGTATACTTTATTGCTATATACTCAAATATGAATATTAATCAACACTGTTATTTAATATTGTGACACAGGTTTAATAAAAATAAAATTGTATAGGTACATATTAAACTGTATTTTAAGTAGAACCCCTTTAATTTCAAACTACTTTATAGACTCTCTTCACTATAGCACAACCTGTGTACTGACAAAACAAAATCCTTATTGTATTTTATTGTGCCTGGAAGTGATACAGAGAGGTAAAGAGGGAATTAGAGGGGGAAGATCGGGAGAGAGGCTGAGGGGAAGAGATGCTTTACTCCCCATTTCAATTATTGCTGGTTTTGTGATAACAGTGGCCTACCCTAATTGAATAAAATAAACAGCACATTTATTGGAACAATTCACATTTATAAGAACACACAGCACAAACAGTTTTTAGACAAGTAATGTCTTAGCTGTTTGCAGCTGTAGCAAAGCAAACTGCATTACGACCTTCACTTGTCAAACATCTTAAGACTTTTCTACATAAAAACAACAGTTTGGAAAAAAGAACTCACCAAACTAAAGACATCCAATATTCAAAATGAGCAGAAGCCTAAAACCCTACCCAACTTCATTACTACAGATCAGCTGACTAGCAAAAGCAAAGGAAATAAGCCTCCCTTTAAAAAAATGGAACCTGTACTGCAATAGAGGGATCTTTATCATTATAGCTCTGCGAGATGGTAAAAATGCAGAAATCCTGCAAGATTATCAGTCTCTATTTCATTCCATTTATTTACACCTGGATCTAGAGTTTACCTGTCCTGTCAGTTGTCTCAGTGTCTGACGGCTTTGGAGCTGGGGTGTTTCCAGGGCTGGTTGTCCCGTGCAAGGGAGAAGAAGTGCCATCTCCATTTACGAATACTGAGACACTCTGCCCAGAAGATGTGGAGGGTGCCTGACTGTCTACTCCACTGGAGCTGCCACTGGTAGAACTGGAACAAATCAAGGCAACATGGATCAATTACTGTTCTCCCTCTTACTGGCCTGCCACTGGGGTATGTAGTCTATGTATCATTATTCTAAGAGGTACCCTAGCCAACACTAGGAAATCCTGTAGTTGTGGATCTCCTGAATTTAGAAGCAGACTCTTGATAGTGGACAATGTACTGAATGATGTCCATGAACTGTTTTCTTATGGAAATACCAGCACAGCAAAGACTACAAGGGATTTTAGTCATCCCCATGTGTGACTGTCCCAACATCACAAATGTCTGACTCATCCTTACTACATACATAAGATGTTTAAAATTCCAATAAAGCAGGAAGAACATTAAAGTGTGCCTGAGTAATGGTCACAGCTTTTCCTCAGTTCTGTTAGTCAATTTCCCTAGACAGGCAACTTCCTATGTGAATGAACCTGCAGCAGCAGCAGCAGCACTTCCCCTTTAGGGAAGACTTTCAAAACACTTTCTCACTCAACTCCAACATGATGCTGTCACTTATTTCATGAAAAACAACTCTTACTACTTAAAACTAATCCTTATAAACCTCCCATTTATAACAACTATGGCCCCACCAGAACTCCACATCCTAAAACGGCCAGAAAACTTTAAAGGTAAGGGGGCATTCAGGTCATTCAGCCCATCTTGCCAAGTTTCTAAAATGTAATTACAAAGTTTCACCCAACCATTTACTTTAACTTCATGGGCTTAACTGTGGGGGTCTGATGTAAAACAACACAGTAGGACTAAAGAGATATTTCTGGTAAAACTAATAACTACACCCTCATTTGGCAAACAAAACTCAAACTGTTAACATAATAAAACTGGAAATGACTATCTCTTAAAGTAACATTTTAGTCAACTTCTTAATAGTGGTACAGAAAACACTAGGAAGATTCAATAGTCTCTAAATAGTGTTAACCACCTTCAGAATAACACTTCCATTTCAACACATTGTGGGGAAAATGTATATTATAACTTATTCCACAAATATGACATAAAATCTTTGTACAAAGTACTTTAAATACAGGAGTACATCAGAGTCACTTTAGACACATTGAAAGACATACCTTCACCAATATACTCTTTGACACCGAGTAAAAAACTACTTCAAAATATTTTAACCTAACCCTTCCCTTTGCTTACTTCACACTCCACTAAAGTCTCATAAACAGAAGAGTACTCTTGGGTTGCTCCACCCTTCTCTGACACCTGCCTATGGGAGATTTGAACATTCAATCACCCAGCAACTGCAAGGGGAGCCATTTCACTGCCATAGACACATCACAGGCATCTGTAGTCTTTTTATGTCTATTCAGCATGCATAAATACAGTGGACCCAAAAGTCTGATGCATACAATTATTTCAAATTCATCAATGATCCCTTGGACAACATATAGATTAGAAAACAGTAATAATACAGTAGGCCTGATTTTTTTTATAACTCTTTTAAGCTCATAACTTTGTCTTCAGGCTACACGGCATCCATGATAATATCCAGAGGAATGCAATGCTACCAGCTTGAGACTGGCTATATACTCAAATATTGTTCAACTGTTTAGGTTTTTATACAAACTAACACAAAATAAGCACCAACAAAAAAAAAAAAGACCGCGTAACATTTTTGCAACATGCAATTTGGATCAAGCCAAAAATCAAGAGTGAACCACTGCTCACAAAAGAGCTATATCTTTGTGCAAATACTGATATGTCATACTAAGCTACTAAGGAACTCACTGAAACACTAGCACCAAAACATAACAGCTGAGAACTCAGTGAAATCTTACAAAAGGAAAACCAACTGGAATCCTGCTAATTTTGAAAATTGAGAGACACTATTGTCACGCTCAGGAAACGCTTGTGGTCACATGGCATCCTTGATAAATCAGGCCTTTTGTTTTGTCAACATTGTTCTCATCACAATGGTGACGATGGCCTCACTTTTGGGAGCGCTTACTCTCTCACTGTGTTCTGTCCATGGGTGTGACCTCCAAACAAAAGCAACGCCTGTCTTGCATTGTGAAAAACAGAGGGGAGATGCTTATTTTTCTCTTGTTCAACTCCATAACTTATTATGTGGCAGCACTCAAACCACATTTTTCAGCTCTGCAGAAAACTTCCAAAAATTCCCCAGGGAAGCTGGCCTACTCTAGTATTGTTACGCTGTGCAACTGCCCCCTCTTGTTTTACTATCTGATCAGCAGCATCTAGTTTGTAATATATGAAATATGTTCTGCATCTAAACAAGTAAATTCATTGTTGTGTGGTAACTTTTAGCCAAGAAGTAACATTTCCTTTAAATATAAAATTATATGAAGGCAACTGGACTTTTTTGGCTGTTTAATTTAAATAATCATTTAATTACTCCACCTTATGTGCATAAGAATGTATATTAACAATGTATATGGCTATTGACAACAATGAACTTTGTATTACATAGTATCGTAGATAACACTGCAATTAAAAGGATTAGGAACTTGTAAATACTATGTCAACAGAACAGTTTTTTGTTTCAAGACATAAAAAAATATTGAAATCAGGTGGAATAAAAAACTAAGCTGGTGTAGCCTACAGAATAGAATGTAAAGTTAATAAATAAGTGTATAAACAAGCCAAGGACACCTCTGGACTGCTGTCTTCCCCTGCAGACACATCCAAATTCTCAAGATTCCAAATATTTCCAAATATTATGAGACATACTGGGATGATCTGTTGGTAGATCAAAATTTTCAAATGGTTTTACCTTGATCGAGCCCTTGTAGAAGTTTCACCTCCATTTTCATGAATAGCGTTACCATTCTGCTGAACTTCTAGGGAACAGAAGAGATCAATTACTCACCAAACCACATCAATAAACCTTCAATAAGCCTTGCCTAGATCTTGGGATGTCATTAAGCCTTAGCAACCAAATCTGAATCTCCTCTGCATTCTCAAAATTTTAAACAGGGTTCAGATGACACATTCAGAGTTCAATTAAAATTATGGACGACAGCAGCAATCCAGTCAGTGGAATGGACCTTTCAGGACAGCAGTCTGCATGTAGGAGTCCGATTATAATTTGGCCTGAAGCCATTAAAAACACAGAAACCGTGAACTACTTACTGGTCAAGTCTGTATTGCCATTGGGCAGTGAATCCTGATCGAGGGCCAAGCCATCGAGTATAACTGTCAGCTCCCCTGTGGGGATCACTCCACTCTTGTTTTCCAGGGTGAGCTTCAGGACCTCTCTGACATTCTCCACTGCAAAACAACAGAGCCAAGGAGAGATTATTAATGGCAGAGTCCTGCTTGCTGTAGGAGTCTAAACTGTCTTAAAGAGCGTTCAGGGTTTAAGAGTCGTCGTCTTTTATTCAGATAAACCTAAACATATTAAAATAGAAAAATGCTCAAGCACATCTTAATATGTACTTAATATGGATAAACAAACTGAAAACTTAAGAACGTAACAGCTTACGAACAAGTACAACCCAAGTATCTAGCTCAGCTGCCTCCTACATACAGTACAATTAGATATTTTTTGGCATCTATCAGTTTCATATTCCCAAAGGTTTCATCTTAGCATTGATCTGTAGCTTACATTCAGATATGTGAACTCTCATTATTAACGCTGCATTGATTTTTTGGGAAAAATGAAACCCCCTCACTTGTGGTTTACTAAGTATAAAGAAGCTGTAACATAAGTATAAGTGCAATTAGATTATTCTTAGCCTCCTTCTAGAGTAAAATATAGAAAAGGAAAACTCCCAAGCATACATTTTCGTTCATGTAGCTCCAAGACCTGGTTAATGTCTAGAGTGGCTTTTCCTAACAGAACATCGGCTTTCAGGGTATGATGGCTCCATACTTTAAAGTCCAATTTGGTGTGTGGTGTTACATTCCTGAAAAAGAAATAAAGATGTTATTCTAGGCACATTCATAAAGATTCAATAATTTACAAGCAAGTCAGAGCCTCAAGGACACCATTTAAACAGAAATGTACCACCTATGTAGCCATCTATATTTTTCATTTTTCATCTCATTATGCCAGTCTTCCACAGTTTAGGTGATTTGGTATTTATGAGCCAATGAGTCTGTGCATAGTGATACATGGTGAAATGGAAAATACACACAGTAGTGTACATTCAATACATTTAATGTATGTTTACTACTATTAACTATATAACAATATAAAATATTTGTAGCTCTGTACCACTTGGACATATGTGGTTAAGGCCTCTCTGTGGTGGCTTCTGCCTATACCATAGATTTTCAATCTTTTTTTGGCAAAAAATCATTTTCTCAACAAGGACCCCATATGTACACACAAACATAAGACTTCAGCATGATGATTATAATATTATAAAATATTAAAAGCAGTACTACATAGGAGATCACCGCTTTAACAAGACTGATTTTAAAGGTTACTAGATTTGAGGTTCCCTTTATTTCTAGGGACCCCTAGACAGTCTCTGAGGAGCCCCAATGCCCCCCAAACAGCTGGATAAAAACCGGTGGGTTAGTCCACAAGCAGAGCTTGTGTAAAGCTTAATTTCAGAATGAATGGAGGAGAAGCAGACAGACGTCATCCCAGGTATTCTGTCCATTCACTTTGTGTCACTTAGCTTCACGAATTCTTCTCAAACACAATTCTTGTTAGATTTCAAACATATCAAAAGATACTAAGGAAATCTCACGCAATGTTAACTTGAAAAATCACATGTGCAGTTAATGCAGGTTGAGTATGAACAATGTTTAATAATTTACAAAGCAAATTAGCATCACAGTAACACTAGTTAGATGTAGGCTAACAATTCAATCATAAACACTCACTCAAGACTTTGAAAGCTATAAACTCCTCATTTTAAAGTCACATTTAAAAAATGGCAGTTTCAGATATCTTATCTTTCACAGCCTCATGTCCACAGTGGCTAAAGTCTGTCACACCTGTGTGTATTACTGGATATCAGTTCCCTTTTCTATCACTTACAAACCAGAGCGGAAGTCAAGATAATGCAGTTTTACAGACTTGTGTTATACCTGGTTTTACCATAGTTTTCTTCTTGGTTGACTCTGTCACCTGCTGCTCAAAATATTTATTATGGCAGCTCAGAGAAATTATTTTGAACAATCACTTAGATTAAGGATATTTTTAATTGCTTTTTAGTACGAAGTACAATTTAAGAAAATATTATATGACTGATTAATATGCTGTCTGATGTTCACTATACTTGGATGAAAGTAACCTATAAAGTATTGTGGAGTGTAGTACCAATATTAGAAATCAGTTTCGAAATTGTGGAATGTACAATGTTATTGAAACCCACTTACTTGATATTCGCAACCTTTAAACTCTTATGAGAAGAAATTAAATGCAAGAAAATAAAAATGCTAACTCCACAAAGAATTACACCTTCATTTTAATGGCAAGAAGAAGGTCCTGAAAACCAGCTGTCAGGCAAACTTTCATCTCTGCAGTGTGATATTAATATTCAGCGCACAGGGAATCTTGAAGCAGAGCATGAAGAGGGTGCGCAGTGGGTACTAGACTGGCATTAAACTCAATCACTTCCTCCTATTCTCCACACTGTACTTCAGCCATTTTTTAACTGCATTTTTCCCCAGGTTAGATTGTGAATTATTAGAGACACTGAAATGCACAGCTGAAAAAGCAAACCTGTAAACTGCAAAAAAACTACCCATTTGTTATCTGAAATCTAATTACTCCTGATACAGGTCCTGGTGACTCCTGAGTCCACACAGAAAACACAGGGTACAAGACCAGACACGCTGGACAGAACACCTGTCCTTCACAGGGAACACACAAGCACACAGGGACAACGTAGAGACACTAACCTAGCCAACATGCGTACAGAAGGCGAGAGGAAACCTGAGCACACAGATTAAATCCAGGCTCCTCACAGTAAGCACCCAGTCCAGAATCAAACCTAGGACTCAAAACCAGTGCAAATTCTTTTATGTGCATCTGATGTCTGCCTGCCACTGTTTTTATACCCCCATTGGAGTCGATGCTGCAATCTACTCTGGCTGCCCAGCACAGCACATCACAAGGCTTCGTATCCTCTGCTTACAGAATGGCTCCAATGAACTCCAAAACAAATTCAGCACCGACTATTCGTTTATTTTAAGTATGCTGAGGATGAAGAAAACCAGTATATGCTTTTCACATACTGAACAGCTGAACTACCAAAAGAAAATAAATGCTGTACTTCAAAAGCACTTGTTTATTTACATATGACACAACAGCAAAAAGCTGGAACCATAGGAACCAAATCCCTGATGCTCTAAATAATAACTAATAAAGGTTTTGGGAGGAGTACCCTGGCACAGTGAGAAGCAAGAGATGCTGAAAGCTACATAACTACACAATCCCCCAGTCACCTCATACTTCCTGTTCATTTGCATTTTAGCACACAAAATGTAATCAGGCCAATGCTTCTGAGAAACAAATTACACAGCAACAAATACAGTAACAAATACTGATTAATGGATTATCCATGGACACAGAACACAAAAATGTATATTATCACTAAGAGAGAAGACAAAGATACTGGTCACAGTTTCACATTAAAGTAAATGACCTTGAAATCCCATGACTGTAGCTCAAGAGGTTGATTCCACAGACATATGAACTATGACAAGAAAAGAAAAAACGATCTTACAGCGTCAAGCGTTCGTCCCACTTTGGATTAGAAGAACTGTTTGATTTTGCAGTTTTCTTGGCCTCTCCATCCGTAGCTACCTCCACATAGATAGCAGTTCCAAACCAGTTCTTCTTCCTCTTGAGTTTGGCAGAGGAAACTACAAAGAGAAAAGAAAAGGAAATAAGGGGAAAGGAAAAGCAGGAACCCTGAAGGAAACAAAGTAGTCAGATTGGATACCGCCAGGCCTCCATCTTCAACTTGAACTATCATGACCTCAACAACAACTAAGCACCAAGATGAGAGAGGTGGGGTATAAACCATTTAAAACACAACTAATACACACAAAGCCATGACCCACATGCAGTGTAGTCCATAAGTATTTAGACAGTGACACAATTGTTGCTCTTTTGGCCCTGTACTCCAGCACATTGGATTTGAAATGAAACAATGACTATGAGGTTAAAGTGTAGAATATCAGCTTTAATTCGAGGGTACTTACGTCTATATTGGGTGAACCATATAGGAATCACAGCCCCTTTTATACAAAGTCCCCCCAATTCATGGGACCAAAAGTAATTGGACACATTCAAATAAATCTTAAACAAAATTTGGCATGTTTGCAAATCCTTTGCAATTGATGAATTAAAACCGTTTCTAGGTTTTTCTTCACGATTGAAAGTATTCTTCTGTCATCCACTACTGTGGTCTTCTGTGGTCTACCAGGTCGTTTGCTATTGCTAAGCTCACCAGTGCATTCTTGCTTCTTAATGTACCAAACAGTTGATTTTGATACACCTAATGTTTGTGCTAAGTCTCTGATTGATTTATTCTAATTTTTCACCCTCATGATGGCCCACTTTAATGGCATAACACTTCTTTGGTCCTCATATTGAGAGAGCAAAAGGACTCCAGATGCAAATGCCACATTTAGAATCAACTCTAGACCTTTTTGTTAACTTTCTTGTGCATGAACTAATGATGCAACAACACACAGCCGGCCAAGAAACAACTGAGCAGCCAAATGTCCAATTACTTTTGGTCCCCTAAAATGGGAGGACTATGTATAAAAAGGGCTGCAATTCCTATATGGTTCACTCAATATAGACATAAATACCATTGAATTAAAGCTGAGATTCTGCACTTTCATTTCAAATCCAATGTGCTGGAGTACAGAGCCAAAACAACAGAAATTGTGTCACTGTCCAAATACGTACAGATTGCACGGTAAGTGTCTGAAATAAACAGGATTGATATACTGCATCATCAGTGTGCTAGAGGGTAACGAAACCTTCTAAAACCCTCAGCACTGTCCACCACTCGACAAATAATGTTTTCTGCTTATTTAATTGGTACAGTGTCTGTCACAATAAATCTGGATTATCTGCAACAATGCAGATTCAACACAGTCATGGTGCAGCACATCTGCTGGACTCCTGTGGTCTTTCTGAAATACGTTTTTTGTTTAAATCCATGCACATAGTTCCTTCAATTTTATTTAATCTAAAATTTTATTTGACCTGTGTTCTCTAGGACTCCTGGCTGGCAAAGAGACATTTTATAATATTCTACAGTAGTCTTATGGTATAGTCTTATAGTATTCTAGGATGTCACATCACAGTAGAAGCTGCAGTCGTCATCACTGGTCAAACAAATGAATCTAGACTGTCTAAAAGCGCCTGATGATTATTCTCAGTGATCTATGCATTAACTGATCTCTGTCTCTTTAACTGTGAAATGGAATTCAGTGGAGATATTTTACATTACAATGCAGCCAGCAGCCATGTCACCCTGCAACTCACAACTGGCAACCCACTGAAACTAAGCAGGTGCGAGCAAGGTCAGTACCTGGATGGGAGACCTCCTGGGAAAAACTAAGGTTGCTGCTGGAAGAGGTGTTAGTGGGGCCAGCAGGGGGCGCTCACCCTGCGGTCTATGTGGGTCCTAATGCCCCAGTATAGTGACGGGGACACTATACTGTAAAAAGGCATCGTCCTTCGGATGAGACATAAAACCGAGGTCCTGACTCTCTGTGGTCATTAAAAATCCCAGGGTGTTTCTCATAAAGAGTAGGGGTGTAACCCCGGCGTCCTGGCCACATTTCCCATTGGCCTTTATCAATCATGGCCTCCTAATAATCCCTGTCTATGAATTGGCTTCATTACTCTGCTCTCCTCCCCACTAATAGCTGATGTGTGGTGAGCGTTCTGGTGTACTATGGCTGCCGTCGCATCATCCAGGTGGATGCTGCACATTGGTGGTGGTTGAGGGGAGTCAACCATTACCTGTAAAGCGCTTTGAGTGGAGTGTCCAGAAAAGCGCTATATAAGTGTAAGCAATTATTATTATTATTATTATTATTATTAAAGGTAATAATGCCCCAAATAAAACAGCTGCACATCTTAATTTAAACCTAAGTCAAATACATTATCAAAACTTTGTAAAATAACTTTGTTATTAAACTAAAATGTTTGGAGCCAATATTAAATCTACAACCAAGAACTGCAGCACAATGTTACTTTAATTCTGTGTATTTGCTTGTACATTTACTCTGCTGTATTGTAACCTGAGTCTTTACAGTTCTTCAAAATGGCACTCACCAAGAATAGGCACTGTATGAACTTCTGCCTACAGATTTAAAGCACCAGCTGTAGATTTGTTTGGGCTACTCTTTAGGGACTGGAACATATTATATACTTGTGATCATGGCAAAGACTAAATTTAGAGGCAAAGGGCTGTTTTTATATTTCAGTAAACCTGTTCATTTAGTGCACAACAGCAATACAATATCTGGTCTAGAGAAGCATTTCTCATAATTGGGCAGCGGTTTAAAAAAGCAGACTGTCCTGTGAAGAGGCTTTTGTTAATGAGAACCCAGTTTTGCCTCCATGAACTACTAGATCTTTTAGTTTACAGTGAGGCTGGTTCATCTCAGTGGAGACAAATGGGAGCAGCTTTGGACCATACTAAACCTAGACCATAGAGAACTTGTCTACTGTGTGTTTTCACTGTTCTGTCACCTCACTATGCCAGAGAAACCAAGACACCATCTGACCTGTTGGTCAGTTTTCATTCCTAAATATAGGGAATGTTTCATCTGAACTTAATTTGGTATCACATTTTTTTAAATAAAATTATTTTCTAAATACTCATTGGTTGCATTTTTATTACCTCCCACTATAAAGCAGTAAGCAAACTGCAGGACCTAAATGAGACAAACTTAGTCTAAGATTAGTGATCAGTATTGTCCTCTAAGACACAGGGAAAATTGTCAGTGGCTACGTTATTCAGTGACAAGCAGCATGGACCTTGTTCCCTAATGAGCAGTTAGTGTTTTTAACTGTGAAGCAGAAACTAGCCCAACTTTAAAGAGGACTTTAGGCAGAACAGCATCATACATCTCACTAAAAACTCTTCATCAGCATAGTGAAGAAGGAAACTTTGCCAATATATTTATGAAGTAGAAAAATAAACATAAGAATGAAACAAAGAGTATGTCTGGCAACAAGAAAACAACTAACAGCCTGAACAGGAGGAATGTAGAGAATTAAGCTGGGATTTCAACACCTCTAACAAGATCTAGATTCTAAACACACATCACAGGCCCTGTTAAGGCTCCGGTGCAGGGCAGTGGCTCTGTGGCTAAGGATCTGCCTGTGGCTGGAAGGTTGTCGGTTCAAATCCCGCAGCCGGCAGAGAAATCCTACTCCATTGGGCACCTGAGCAAGGCCCTGAGCTTAACCCCAACTGCTCCAGAAGCGCCTTATAAATGGCTGACCCTGCACTCTGACCCCAAGCTTCTCTCTCCCCACCTGTGTGTCTCATGGAGAGCAAGCTAGGATATGCGAAAAGAAATTCCATATGGCAAATAAAGTAATCTTATCTAATAAGATGTATTATTAGTTTTAACAACCTTTCTTTGAAAAACAGAGATAAAACTCTCTTCACTGAAAAGTGCTACCAGAATAACCTTGCTAGATACTTTATCGGAGGATGTCTCAATTCCCTTGCTTTCAGAAAAATTGAGCTTTCTTCATATGCGCATTACAATTAAAAAAAACAAAACACAAAGTTCTGAATTGTCATGTGCACACCCAGTGCCAACTGAGCTTTGATATATCCAATGGGGCACAGTCACACTAGAGAAAAGCAAAAATATGTCAATTTAAGTTACACTATAGCATTTATTTACATTATATTGTACATTTTAGCAACTGTAACCACTGGTTCTATAAGTGAAAGCTCTCAAGATGTGTACAAACCTACACTCCCACCTTGTCAGAATCTGGTCCCCACACAAAGTCAACACATCAGATATGGACATTGGCTCTCACTAGCCAATAAAGGAGCCTGTAACATTGTGTCTGCTATATCTTTCATCTTCACAATTGCCTACTTTTCTTTAACAGAAAGGTTTTTGACTTTCAACTATGGGCTCCTAACACTCAAGTGACCCAGTGACTTGACAGGATGTTCACAGCTCTTTTATGAGGATCCCTAAACTTCTGCACCTTCAAAAGAAGGATGTTCAACACTATCAGTCTGTTCGAATTGCCATTATTAAAATACTCAGTTGTTGTATTTATGCATCACAATTTTCAACATGAGAAATAGTTATTAAAATTCAGTGAAAATCCATGTTTAGACTTTAGAGGGCCCTATACAGTAGATACCCATGAGATACACATGTGTATATTACCTCCACATGCGCCGCAGTCACAGTACTATCAATTGAAATGGTAATTCCCTAAGGCAACAGGAACAGTGGTGATTTATCAGTAAGACTCCAATTTTGCTTTAATGATCACTTTGCTTTAAAAAAGGAGCAAGCAAACTTCACTAAGCACTTACATGCCCTCTCAAAACCAGAGTAAATTTCAGAAACTCTGAACAGAATAAGTTGCCAGGTTTATTAGCTACAAATGCTGGATCCTTTTTAAAAAAAAAACAACAACAAAGAAACCCAGAAAAGTGTAGTGGGGTTCCCGTGGCAACACAGTTCAGCTCCTTACCAGTTGTGTGTAGCTGTGATCTCCCATTGTGACGATTACTGCTGTCTGACCTGGTCGAGGCTGTGGCCATGTCATTAGCTGCTGTGAGAGCCTAAAACACAAAAAAAACAGACGGCATTCAGATGATATTATAAGTTGATGAACAAATTAAGACTGTGACTACTGTTTTTAGAATTTATTATTATGAAAAAACTCAAGATTTCTACAATACAGGTAGTGCAAGAAATGTTAATGCAATAGGCATTTTATGCTCTTTTTAAACTTTACATTATAAAGCAATGGCATGTTTTAGGTAACACAAAATATTTAAATATAGCAGCCAAATTGAGCTTTAGCTGAATTGTGTAATCTTCTAACAGTGTTGAATAAAATAAAGATTGAACATCTGTAAACAAAAGGCTAAGGAAGTTTGTCTGGAGTATCTTAAAAAATGACTTGTTTGCCAAGAAGTAGAGTTGGTAGCACATCTCTGAATATTGGAGAGGTAATTAGACTCTGGCACTTCTGCATGTCCTCTTTATTACTGTAACCTGGATGTTACTGACTAACTGTTTTATTTCCACAGATAATGCTGAAAAACCCTTTGCAGCAAAGCATGAGCCAAACTTTCCACTTTTGAAGAAAGCAGGGTTCCCAAACCTGGTCCTGGGGAATCTCATCAACGGGGTTTTGTTCTAGTCAAGCTTTTATTTTACCTTATAGAGTTATGACGAGACTACATTTTCATTTCAGGTATTTCAGATGCTGTTAACTACTGCATTTCATCATGTGAACTTTTAAGCTGTAACTTTCAAATGACAAATAAGAAGGTTATTTAATTAAAGGTACAATTAAGTAAGAACTTGGCTGAACCAAGAACTAGCTTATGTGTGGGACCCCAGGACAAGTTTGCGATAGTATGGTCCATGTAGTGACGGGATCACAACCCACTCTAGGGTCCTGTGGTCATGATGCGTCTAAAACCCTCCTGCCAGCTTCAGACATCTTTCACTGTGGACTCCTCAACAAGTCAAAGTCAAAGAACTGCAACAGTATTACAGTACATAGTGTTTTTACAGACACTATACAATTTCAAACACTTAAGCAAAAAAATATGAATATACATCTTATTTTTTATTTTTAATTTAAAGCAGTAAGATGTACAAGCTTGCAAAAGCTTAATATCACAAACGCACTTCAGTTACACAGGACTGTGCAAAAAATCAAAGACAGGATCAGGCAAGTTTTCATTTCACGTCACTCACACTTGAGCTGCTTAGCTCATGCAAAGTTCTGAAAATGTAATGCCAATATTTAAACGCTGGTTGGTACACTTTGCACCTTTAATGAAACCTCTGATGCTTCTATTCAAAATTGACAAGTAATCGATTTCACATAACATTAATCATTACACTGAGATGCTTTACAACAACACAAAATTAAAACCGATATCCACACAAATTTAACAGACGTAAAAGCTAGTATACAAAAGCTAGGTTTCAAAGACAGCATTCAAAAGTGCTGCTAGACCTAATATAAACTTGGAGATGGTTACATTCCATTCATTATAACTAAAAAGTCAAAAACCGACACTGTATTTTAGTTTTAAAAATATATTCCTATAGGGCTGGGCAAGTCAAGCTCAACTTATAAATAGCCTACATAGACTATTTTATTTCCCTAATCTTAAAAGGTGGGGCAGGTATGATGCTGATAAGAACTGAGCTACTCAAACCAGGACTGTATAAACCTGGTCCAGGAGAGTCAGTATGTACACAGGTTTTCATTTCTTCTCTTGTCAAGCTAAATCAGCTGGTTACTGGTATAATGGGAAGACATTAAAAGGAGTGGGCCTCCTGTCTACCACTGAACTAAAGGGCCAGATGAATGGCCATTTCAACTCACCTGGATCACCCACTTAACTGGGCAACATGTCTATCAAAAGAACTCCTCTTTTACTCCTCCTCTGATAAACTGATTTCCATGTAATACATTAAAGCTGCCTGTACTGCAATTTTCGTTCCAATTACAAGTAATCAATCTTGACAGAAACATTAAAAGCCCTGTCAAAGCAACATTACTCCCTCTGCACGTCCTCATGTCCCTTCCTGAAACGTGGATTCAATGATAACATTCCTGGAGCCTGGCACAAGCACCAAAAGGATATACAAACATAAGCATACACTAAAGCAACAGATGCATTTTTAAATATCTAACCGTTTGTCCTGCTGCTTTAGAACAATCTCTTTGTACTGTTTAGTTGAACATATACAGTATTACCAAAGGTGGCACCAGACTTTATTGCTCAGGGTTCCCACCTACTAACCAAAGCAAGAAGTAAATTAATAATAAAGAGGACATGGAGAAATATAGAAGTATTAGTAGTAGTATCTATCTTTCTAGCATTCAGATTGGTTACAAAAAAATGGTTGTAATATCGTCGCCTTATACTGTAGAGTTTAAAAGGAAGCAAAACAAGTACCTATTGCATTAACAATTCATGCACCACCTGGACTGTAGATGTATCTTTTCAGCAAAGGTCCATATCAAAGAGATTTTGCAAAAAAATCAAAACCTGGGGTTGCTTCAATGTTAAGTTGAAGTACACAATGGCCTTAGTTATTGTGGCCCAATGGCCTAATAGTTGTGCCCATTTAATGGCCTTAAATCTTATAGCTTTTTTTCCTTTTTAAAAAGATCACACTAAATCATACCTAAGAGTTCTTTCCATGCTAGACAGTTGGCTACTAAAATCTGACAAAAGCTGTTACTTTACACAGTAACCTGTGCAAGACCTCCAGACCACCCTTGTACAATAATGGAAAGGCCAGCTGTTGTCAAGGGTTGGAAATGGCAGCTGCACTCACTCAGCTAGCGTCACAGCTTGCACTACTGTAGGTTCGAGGACCACTGCTGCCTAGTGTCTTAGGACACTAAACGTTATGGCTGTCAAAGTCATTTAAATGGACTATTGTTAAGGGAAGAAAGGCTAGATCCATAACACATGGAGCCGAACCAGGAAGTACAGCACTACAGGAACTAAATCATGTTTGTGGTCACCATTAATGACACTGTTTGGCCCAAGGGTGCAGACTGATCTCAACACACGTGTACCTGATGGAGGTACTTACGATTGCGTGATCACTAAGCCGTCGGAGATCCACACCTGACACTGCGGCCCATGATTCTACTGTAGAAGGAAGAAAAAAATAAGGATCAGTTTGACTTTGATCATCTCCCTTTCATAATAAATACCACATATGTTCTGCACACCTCCAACTGGGAAATGAGAGAGCTCAGACCAGCAATACCAGCATCTATTGTTTACGCACAGTGATGCCCAAGACCTAAAAGCTTCATGCCATTCTTCACACAAGACAAATACACATGGGCACAAAGTCTGAAAATCATTCAGGTGCCCAACTTAAAACACCCAGAGGTTTACAAACAATAACTCATAATTGTTACAGTCTGATCCCAGATTTATTAAAAGCAATTGGACAGGACTATATTATTTTCTTAGCTTCCTTACAGCTGGTTTGAAAGCCAAGAAATTTTCCACAATCAGCAAAATGAATCCTTGCTCACAGCTGAGCATGACTACACACTGCAGCAAGAAAGCACTGCTCTGTGCCTCATTACTCACTCTGCCTCAGAACACATGGCACACAAACTACTGAAATTCAAGAAGGGGAAGGTTAACCACAGGTGTGCTGGCAACAATGTGTTTAGTGCAGAAATATTCAGACTATTTTCTATCTGAATTGAATATTACAGTACTCATATAGAAACTCCTTTACGTTAATATTTTTTTTTAATTCAAGAAGATGCACTGGAAAATAGTCATGAATCTCTTAAATAAAAGTCCTGCCTTCCAAATCTCTGTTCTGTATATGGATGTAAAAAAAAAAGTGTCAAGAGCATTAGAAGTAGCAGATACAACGTAAGAGCTTTTCATTATGTTCAGCTGGTTAAATTTAAATATTAAATATTCAGACTCCCACTAATAGGTTGCAATTAATGTTATGATTGTGAATAGACCAAAGGCTGACAATGAGAGCAGTGCTTTAGCAGTTCCTCCTCTAGAAGATCACTTGGCGGCTCGAACATTTAAGATTCAAGGCAGAATTTAGTCCCCATGTCAATTTCTTCACAAACTCGCAGCAAAGAATTTGGAGTATCTGACGTGCTTGTTTAAAAGATGCCCCACTGGGATTCACTGACACACAGATTTTCCCCATTAACCACACACTATAAAGCACTGCTGCACACAACTAACAAGAGCTACTGCAGCGCAACGACATGCTTGAAATCTGGAGGATTCATCATCGGCGTTGCTGCTGTGGCTTGCGACCAGCTTGACTGTGCAGAGAGCACAGTGAAGACACCTGGAAAAGCCAAGAAGAAGCTCACAAGGCTCAGACAAGTCATGTTTAAACCCACTTAGAGAGGAAAGGTTAGTAGATACTTCCAACAGAACATAGCATGATGTAAGACACTTGGAAAAGGGATTCAATAAGATTGCCGATGCCGCATTCAGAGTAAAAACACAGGTGATACAAACTGACTGAAGCACCAATTCTTGAATCCCTACAGCAGCCTCTCGGCACTCTCTTTCTCAAGTTGGTTCACAATGGCCTCAGCATTCTCATGAGAAGTATAATCTCAAAGCAGCAAAGAAAAACGGTGATAAGAGAACATGGATTATAATCATGTCACTTGAGTCATACAAGTTACTTTAATTAAGCATTAATCTAACAAATATATAAATGAAAGACATGTTGAAGCAACAAACTGTACTGTAGCATCTGACATTCAAAGAAATTAAAATGGAAGGATTAAGCAAATTTCTAAAACAAGGCATTCCACTGTCAACAAGCCAATTTTTGGTCCCAAATATACAGCACAGGAGAGGAAGTGTCATGTAAAGTAATATTATTCACTTTATATATATTTAGATATATAATTGTCATGAACATCCACACACAATGCAGATTACCTCAGCACATTTAAACATCTCAGCATATCCTCCCACACGTAACTGTTACATACAGGGCTCTTTTACACAATCTTTTCAGTACTAACAGATCTGCACATCGGTGCAGTTATAACAGCCAGGTTCTTCGAACAAGTCTGAAGTTCCTGAGACAGGCCGAGACTTATCATTGTTTTGCATTATTGGACAAAAATTGTTTTTTTGGGATTAATTTCGAAAACAGTTAAAAGAATCTTCTCTTTCAATTTAGCGAAAGTTGGAAAATACTGAGGATATAATATAAATCGTTTGCTCAGAGACATCATGTCTTTTGAAGAATTTAAGAGGATCCCAAAACGTTATCACAATACCTGGATCTCGTCAAAATGCTTGCCCTTTAATGGTTTCTGAGCTGCTTGTATTATATCAACTGGAAAAGTGAAATGACAAATTCCCTTAAGTAAACACTGAAGAAACCATCATGAATGTTATTAAAATCCTAGATTTGATCTTGCTTTTTCCTCAATTGACCTAATTACGGTTTACAGTCTGACAAATGTTTTGAGGTTTTCCCAAAATGGAACCTAAACCCGATTCACTTAAAAATTAACATTTGTAGAGTTTTGCACCTTATGACTAAAGATAGAAAATAAAGTAAGTAGGACATGGTCATCCACAGACAAAAGCAGGTCCAACCACAGCTGCAAGGAGTAGGAAATTGAACTTTTAACACATGTTCTCTCTGCCTGGGAGCACAGGGACCAAGGTTATAGCTAAACACGCTTTCAACCAACTAGATTACTAACACAGCAGTATTCTGCATGTTGAAAGAGCATTACGCTGCACTGATCATGATGTTCCAATACGATCTCTAAACAGCACATTACCAAAGCTGTATGAGACAACTGTTCGAATTGTCAGTCTACCAGGATTAAAAAATGATTGAACAGTGT